AAATTATAGGAATATAAGCGAGACAACAAACTAGCTCTTTCATACAAAAAAAAAAACAAAAACATATATTAGAATGCATTAAATATTAAATTCACTCATTTCGCGGTTTACAGAAGGCAGGGGGAATCGCTTCACAGATTGGACGTCTGTTTCTCAGGCTGCAATTATTCACACTACACATTACATGCGAGCTTTGTGTAGCAATAGTTCGCTAGTTTTCGTCGCTACTGCGACGAAAATTCCATGTTATAAAAAGTTTCAAGATGAAACAAGCACTCTTACCTCATTAATAAAGCTTGGACTTGGGTTTGGGCTAGTTGGTTGTACATTGATAGACGTGCTGCGCTGCGAAGTTCTACAGAACAAACGCGTGACTAAAAATTGAAAGGAAAATGATGAGTTTACATTGAGATTTTTAGTCACGCGTTTGTTCTGTAGAACTTCGCAGCGCAGCACGTCTACCAATCTATCAACTCTTACCTCACAAAGAAGGAGCCTCCCGTGGCCGTCCACGATTGTCGTGCTTTATTTTATTCAACCATATTTTGCGACCTTTTCTTTCTCACTCTTTCTCTCTCTTTTACAATCATAAAGAAAAAAAAAAAAACGAAAACCGTTACGGCTACGAAAATGAAAGTGGTAAGCAAATTTTGCGAAGCGAAGAAATAATACTTTTGGTTCTAAATTTCTAGGCTAGGTGGCGCAATCTACCGCCCGTTATAAAGGGTACAGCCGTTAGCATTTTTTCCATTTAACCATTCATACTGCCGTGATGGGAACATCCAACAGCACAACAACCGACCATTTTCTCACCAGAAAAAGTGAAAGCCGTTTACAACTCCCTGTAACGCCGAAGTAGAGCGCAGCTCTTGAGGAGGAGGGGGGAAGGGTAGTGAGGGTCAAGTGTTCTTGGGGGGGAAGGGGGGGGGGGGGGGGTCGCGTGACCTGGGCGCCCGTTTCAGGCTTGAGCGGCGTCGCCGTCGGCGTAACCGCGCGGTGCATTATGGGTAAATTTCCCCGCTAAATTTAGCGGAAAAATAACGGGGAAATTTTTCCGCCAGATTAAGCGGGAAAAATTTTTCCGCTAGATTTAGTGGGTAATTTTTTCCGTTAAATTTAGCGGGGAAATTTTTCTGCTAAATTTATCGGGGAAATTTACCCATAATGCACCGCGCGGTTACGCCAACGGCGACGCCGCTCAAGCCGGAAACGGGCGCCTAAGAGCTGCGCTCTAAAACTAAAAATAAATTTCCGTACGCAGGATACCATGCGGCCCTGCACGCGCGGCGAGTTGGCCTGGGATCTGTAATGGTGCACAGGCCCGTCCGTTCCCCCGGCGTTTTCCGTTGCTAGGTCTGACGTCAGTTCTATGGGAAAAGTCTGGGAAGAGCGAAGGTACGGCGAGAGGTCACCGAGGACAATAAATGTCCAGGCTCTTCCCCTGTATATGGCTCTGAGTGGGTAGTGTCCTGGTACAAGTGTATCGCGACAATATTTTAGATATATATTGGCATTTATATTTCTATATCCCAATACAAATTTTCAATCAGTATCTGTATTTCAATACCGTAATATATTTCCCGTGTATTCCTCGTATCTCGATACAATCACGAGCAAATGTATCTCGTTACAATTTTCAAAGAATCAAGAAATTTCTGCAAGAAATCAAGCGAATGATCTCTTCTTTTTTTTTGTGCTTTAGCGAGGTGAAGGGTATAGTGAACGGTATCTTGTGGCTTTGCTGCCAGGCAGACCATGGTTTGTTTCGTGCATTGTGTACCTGAGGCGGGTGAGCCCCTTCCTTATTGTGCAAAGATATCATATGGTTTCTTGGGTGAATCAGTTGGTAGACTATTCCATAGATCCAAAACGTCAAAGGCTCTGTAAGCACGATCTTCACAAGAGTAATTGCACTTACTGTCCAATTTACTTTGATGAGGGTGAAAATCCTGCCATTCGGTCATCAGATAAAAGACAACAGCAGTTTATTCCAAGGCGACGTCCTACAATGACTGGGGAAGAATGCGCCGGGATTGCGAGGATGCTGACTTGTTGGCGTACATGATTTGGCTAGAACTAAAACATATTAGACGTTCATGTGATTTTGCTTCAAAGGTGTGCAAGATGTCTAAAGAAGAACTGCGCTCCGTTGTTGACAGAAAGTCCAATTTATAGTGAAGACCTGCTTGGTTCCCAATTCTAAGAGCAAAATGCCAATTCTATGCCCAAAATTATTTCGGCCTCGCGCCGTGGCCATCACCAGCTCGTTCGCACCCTAACCTTCTGTTCACTACAATCGCATGTTCATTTTTTTTTTATTGCTGCCATATAAAAATTTAAAATTAGAAGCAGAAGGGCACTTCATTGGTGTTTTATAAGGAATAGCTTCATCCGGTACACTTTAAAAAAAGGGGACATCACCTTACACCCTTTTGTCCCATATAATACACCCCAAAACTTCATTTCGACGTACAGCACCCTATAGTCGAACAGACGGCCCCAAATTTTACGAGGGGCTTGATAGCCGTGTGGTACAACTTATTAAAATAGCTAATGCACCTATCAACGACCACATAAAGAAATCACTGAGCTTTTACAGTAGGACCAAGAAAACCCCGATAATTTTTTTTGTAGTAAGAAACACGTACATTAACTATTTTAATAAGTTGTACCACACGGCTATCAAGCCCCTCGTAAAATTTGGGGCCGTCTGTTCGACTATAGGGCACTGTACGTCGAATCGAAGTTTTGGGGTGTATTATATGGGACAAAGGGTGTAACAATACACCCTTTTTTTTTTTAGAGTGTAATACGAGAGTTATACTCTCAGCTTTTAAAACATTGTTTCTGCACCGGCAAAATGTACTGCTGCATTTAAGTTTTGGCGTTTTTAGAGGGACGAAAGGAGCCGATTGAACAAAGTTTTGGCGTTTTTTAAAGGGACGAAAGGAGCCGATTGAACAAATCGTTGACGGTGACATAGTTATTACAGACAATATAGAAATGGCAGGGCACTTTAATCGTTTTTTCCAGTCAGTTTTTTCAGCGCATGAGTCACATGTCCTGCGTGAAGCCTTAAGCGACGATATTGAAATAAGCACACCGGGCGTGGTGATAGCCCAATCAGGAATATTCGCGAAGTTGTTATCTCTTGATACGAAGAAATCAACGGGACCGGATAAAATACCGAATGAATTTCTCAAAAGATATGCTGAGGGGCTATCCCATTATCTTAAAATTATTTTCGACACATCATTACACACGCACACTCTTCCACAAGACTGGTTATCTGCCTGTGTTGTACCAGTATTTGAGGACGGAAGCCGTCTTAGGGTAGATAATTACAGGCCCATTTCTTTGAGAAGTGTTTGTTGTAAAGTAATGGAACATATTATTTCAAAACACATATTCACTTTCCTAGAGGACCGAGGCATGTTCTATCCCCACCAGCACGGTTTTAGATGTGGCCTGTCAACGGTAACCCAACTTGTAGAAACGTTTCATGATTTTTCTTTTGCCGTTAATAATAAGCACCAGGTAGATGCTATTTGCGTCGATTCTTTAAAGGCGTTTGACCGTATACCACATGAAAAACTGATATGGAAATTAAAAGAACTAGGTCTAGGTTCTATTATTATTAATTGGATTGAAGCCTATCTATCAAATCGAAGTCAAAGAGTTGAAATTAATGGAAGTCTATCTGCGCCATTACCTGTGTCCTCAGGAGTCCCTCAGGGCTCAGTCCTGGGTCCATTGTTGTTTTTGATCTATATAAATGATATCGCTACTTATATTCAAGCTCCAACTAAACTGAAGCTCTTTGCAGATGACTGCTTACTTTATGCTCCCGCAAAAATTCCGTCGATCAATTGAACTTAAACAGGAATTTGGAAATATTAAGGCAGTGGTGTAATGATTGGAAAATGCAGATAAATTTTCGTAAGTCGGCATACATGCACATAACAAACAAGAGGAACGTTTTAAAATTTTCCTACAATATGGGGGATGTGAATTTGAATAATGTTGACAGTTTCAAGTATCTTGGTGTCACGATCTCAAATGACCTACAGTGGCGGGCCCATATTGAAAATGTTTGCTCTTCGCCTATCGGAGCCTTGGTTTTATACGACGGAAATTAAAAGATGCTACTAGAGACGCAAAGTTGACTGCCTATAAAACGATGGTACGTCCTATTTTGGAGTATGCCAGTGTGGTATGGAGTCCCAACAAAAAAGTTGACAAAGAAAAATTAGAAAAGATTCAAAGGTTTGCTGTACGTTTTATTCTATCTAGGTGTAAAAGAACAGACTCCGTAACTAGAATGTTGCATGAGTGCGGCTTGACGGAAGACCGCAAGGTTGAAGTTGTTTTTTCCCTCTATAACGGACAATTAAAAATTGACCCAGCATTGTATCTGAAAGAAGTGCATAAGCGATCGAGAAGACTAAATCATACGAAAACGGTCCAACTTTATTGCAGTAGAATAGACGTCTTTAAATACTCTTTTTTCGCGCAAACAATTGAAGAATGGAATAGTCTCCCGGAGTGTGTCATAGATTTAACAGACGCGTCTCATTTTGAGTCTTCCTTGGAAGAGCTGTTTTCAAGTTAAAAGAGTATGTGGTTGATTGTTGTTATCTGAAAAGGTAATAGTATTTTGTGTGTCCTTATTGCTGTTAAACGTTAATATTATATGTTTTTCCCTTTTATCTCTCCCTCTCTTGTAATAGCCTTCGAGAGAAGGCTGACAGTATTGATAAATAAATAAAAATAAATAAAATAAAATACTTTCCTATTTTTCACATGTATTTCTGGTGCATATCGCGTGTACATTTACAAATGTATTTCAGTATCAGCATTTTAGCAGTTTTATGCCATGTATCCCAATATTTGGATTCGCGGATACATTTTAGAGTATCTCTGCCCAACCCTGCTGCAAGCAGGGTTGGGCGTCTTTCGGGGGTGGGGGGTCTTAGTCTTATCAACTCCCCCCCCCCGCCCCCCGCCTACGGCGCCATCATTGCTTCCCTTCAGCACCACTCCTCTCGAAGCGGCATCGCGTGGTGCCGCTTTTGAATTTTGAGCAAGAGCCCCGCGGGTGCGGAAGCCTCCCAGATGAACCAGACACTTCCTCCAGGTTTGGGCTACCTGACCACGACCGTGGATCCTTCTCATTCGGCCTCGGTGAGCCTGGAGAGGACGCTGTCGGTGCCCGAGAACGACAGCGTGTACAACGCGTGCTGCCTGCGGTTCCGCTTCCGCAAGGGCCCGTACCTGGACGGCGCCGGCGGGTCATCGACGCTGCACGTGCGTCTCACGGTGCTCAACACCAACACCGTAAAGACGAGCAGCCTCACCAGGCACTACGCGCACTGGACGCCATACAGCATCACGCTGACACGACCAACCTCCGTCCAGGTATACTCATACGATCGCCAAAAGAGGCAACTTTACCACGAGAGTGGCATTATGCGCGTCTAATTTGTGTTGGATAGTCTGCTTACAGTACGACATTATACCCTAGTGGTGGGCTTCCGAGACATTGTGCCACCCCATGGGCTGCAGAGCGATGAAAAGATGTTTCAAACTAGCCACGACCTGCGTTTCTAAAGTTGTCGGTGACTATAGGGGAATACTGGACACGTTCCTCGTTTGCGGAAGACGACTAGAGTAGAGAGACGCCAAACCGAGATAGCTTCAGCAACGAAAATCTGGCGCGTGAAAAGACCTTCTTTTCGGCCGATGTTTGCGGCAATGTCAACGGTCTGCCCCGTACTTGGCATCAGAGGACATGAAACATTGAATAGAGGATACTTTTCTGAAACATAAAAGCTCCCTACTCTGTTGCAGGTTAAAAAATCTCGTATTTTTCGCCCACAATGTGCGAAAAAAAGAAAGCCATAGCTGTAACACAATCGCGCAATGCGGGTGGAATGGTGTCGTCAAGTACCTGAGGACGGAGGTGCGACGTGTTTAATTCTCATAGCCGTCGTGGTAGACGCCGTGGGCGTCACTGAAGGCCGCTACCAGTGCTCGGCGATCAGTGAAGTCGGTAAGCGCGGTGGAAGTTTCTAAAATTATCCAACATTACGCGTAGCAACTGGATACTGCCAAAGTGGGATTTTAACGCGAGTTATGCTCGAAAACAAGTCTTTCAAGCAGACGACACGGAAAACTCTCTTTTTTTGTCGCGCCGTTACTGGCGGGATGCTGGGGTTCCCCATCTCCGTGCTGCGCGGCCGACGTGTGAACACGGCTGATTTCCCTGGCCTCGCGCCACGAACGCAGAGAAGAGTTCTTCCGTAGCGACGACAACGGACCAGATCAAAATCTCTGAAGTGTGCAGGAGTGGAGGGCTTTGCGGGAGGGCATTGTGCTGCATTTCTCAAAGGCAGGGCCGTACCCAGAAAAACATTTCGGGGGGGGGGGGGGGGGGGGGTTCGGGGATAACGGCGGCCATTTTGAAAATGTCTATTGTCTTATTTTCGCCAATGAATCATGTGCATCGGTGGCATATAACGGAGAGTTATAGCAAACCAGAGAACCGGTCCCGGTTTGGTACCCGGTAGCCGACCGGCGCTACTGCGCGTGCGCAGAGGTGGAGATTAAAATCGGCTGGCTGCAAGTGCACCAACCAGGGCCGTACGCAGAAAAAAATTTCGGGGGGGGGGGGGGGGGGGGGTCAGAATCCCCTAACCCCCCCCCCCCCCCCTGGTTACGGCCCTGCTCAAAGGCCGACGTAAACTTCGCCCTTTCCACTTTTTCCCACCTCCTCCTTTCCTCTATCCTCTCCACTTTTTACCTTGCCTCAACCATGGCTCCCTTCACAGCTTAGGATAGGGGAGCGCTAAGGGGGCTATCTTCCCTGAAAAATATCGAGGTTGTACGTCGGCCTTGAACCTGCAACAAGTAAAGTATTGGGTTTGAGGAAGTGAGCTCGGTGTACGACACTCCGCCCTTGCAGCTGCTTCATCCGGAGCAGACAACGTATCGGTTGTGATTTCTTCGTTCGTTGGAACGCGTCTCGTACTTGCTAGAAGGCAAAAACACCCCCCTTCGAGGTATTTTTTCTCACATTTCTACTGGGTGTATCAAGGAGTGGCCAGGCTCTTTAAATCGACCGCAAAATTCGGTTTCTTCACCTATCGCGCTACTACTCTGTACCGCGTTGCCCATAGATGGTGCTTTTTTTTGTGTGTGTAAAATTTGCAAAGAGCGAATTTACTTAAGGAAGAAGTAAAGAAAGAAAAAGGCTTAGCTCCTATGGAAATGCGGCGAAGCCAGAGGCCTTCAAACAATACGGCGCCGTTTTGCACGGGAGACAAAAGATGGCGCAAGCGGTCGCGATGCCAACTGCGCCAACGAACGAGCATACGGCGCCGAGAGCCGGCGTCTTTAGCAGACAATCTTTTCAACTCAAAAGCGGCGCGAGCTTTCTGATATCAGTTGCTAATGCATTATTTTATCATGCTTACTGATAAAACATATTGAATGGACACATAATCGATTGGAAAAATGGTTTGTCGGGATATTTTGACTTTTATTTTTTCGGGGTACCGATGTCTTCTGTTTTGCAGCGAAGTTGTCGCACGTGCAGAAAGACCAAAGTTCCCTCGATGCTTTGCGGCACCGGTGGCGTAGTCAAACTGGCTGGTGAGATCGGTCTATTTGCCTCCCACAAGTCGCATAGACAACAGCACCAGTTGATCCTCTACCATGCATTATAACTACTCTATGAACATACCTTGAGAAAACAGTCGTCAGAGGGGTGGGGACACAAACCTTAAATCTTTATTTTTAAATAAAGGTGTTATTTATACGTATACTACATACTAAACAAACACACCAAATTCCACACTAAAAGTGTCATGGTTATTAAGAAAATACTTATTTACAGTTTCGGTATGTTTCATCTCCAGGCACAGAAAAGCCAAACAGAATTGACATACCCTCCAACAACCCACCACGCACATTCTGCTCGCCTTCTTTTTTTTTTTTTTTTGCTTTAAAAAGGCTAATCTGATTTTAGTTTGTTATTGCTTGGCAAACAAACTTTCTTCCACTTCTCACTTCCTTGTGCGGATGAAGTGAGGAGGCGCAAAATTCAACAGAACGTTAAAATAAGTGAAGGGGACGAGAGGGGAAGGAGAAAAGTAACTTGATTTTTGTTACGCTTAGAAGTACCAACTCATTTTGTACAAAAGATTCTAAACCTCCTAGTTGCCGTAAAAAATGAACGAAATACAAAAGCCCTTTTCGTATCTTTCATATTGAATAGAATACTTCAATTTGTTAAACTTTACTCGTTGATGCCACACATATGACTTTATTCAAGTTACATTTTTGTCCAATGCTTTTTTTACTTCATCTGACGTTCAGTCCGGCATTGCATGTTTACGTCCTCGTCACTAAAATCCTCTGGAAGATAACCGCTTCACTGTTACACGCTCTTCATGAGTTCGTGTGTTCTTGGGTCAGAATGTGTTCTCCTCCGTCTGGTACTTCTCCATGACAAAACATCTGCAATCTTCAGACGTTGAAGACTCACATCTTGTTGCCTGCAAACGTTTGCTTAAGTCTTGCTGCGGTCGTCGCCCCTTCCAATGCATCTTCCTCTGTCTTGAAACGTACACGTAAACGTCGGTTAAAAGCAGGGAGTCGAACTGGTCATTCAATTTTCGTTTGGTTCGGGTTCAGTAGCATCGAGTTTTGTTCCAGTTCAGTTCTGGTTCAGTGATGTGTTGGAAATAACGCTTCGGTTACCGATTCCATCAAGAGCAAACCAGTTTAAAAAGCAAAACCCAAAAACTTTGTCATTAAAAAGAAAAGATTACTTAATGTCCTTTGCATTAAAAAAAATGGTCATCAGAACTTGTTTTGCGAAAACGAGGACAGCAAAGCAAATACATGCTTAATATCGTTCTGTGATCTTAAATTTTTAATGCGAACACCGTTCAATAAAAATCATGTGGTTATACAGGCACTTGGAAACAGTAACAAAGTACAGTCGTCACATGTGAAGTCTGTCAGTCAGCACGCATAGTGACAGCATGACGGTAGCACGCCATCGCACTTGCAAACTGCCCACAAAAAACGAATTAGTCCTTAGTTGTTTAGACAGCAGGAGTTTAGTCTGCAAGGGAGTGGTGACATCGTTACCAACTATAGATGAGAAATTTATGCAGTGCAGTACAACTGCTAGCGTGGAGTCTTTAACAGTTTTCACGCAGTACTCAAACACAACTGCACGCCGGTACAATGCTCATCCAGATCGAAATGGCAAACTACCCACACCGCAGGCCCGAATAACTTGCTCGAACGACGGGGTTGAAGAGTGTAGGATTCGCCGTTTCCTACGTGATCCGTCAACAACCCGAGTCCAGCCTGGTTCTTTCACGGGAGCGGGATTCCGCTCCCAGTTTAATGGTACAACAAAACAACGCTACAAAACACTCAATCTAACCTACAAATACAAGCTACATTACACAAATATTTACAAGAGCACGTTAAGCCAAAAGCTAAACACAAAGAAGGCCCCCAGGCCTCGTGTCCCGCGATGTCCTAGATCCGGACGCCACCCACCTGCCTGCGTCTCGGTCTCCACCGAAGTTCTAAGGGGCCTCTCGCCCCCTGCCCCACCGAGTATATATCAATCGATGGGCGAGGAGGTTTCTCCTCGCCCGCCACGGGGGCGCCTGCAGCGCCCTCCAATGGCTAGGAGAGAAAGCGGCGCATCGGGAGCCGAGTTCAAGATCCCGATCGACCCCGCGGCGACACGACCATGTGATCGTGTCTGAGGCGAGACAGCTACGTAGCTGCCTGGCGGCCAAGATTGGCAGAATGGTTTGATGGGCGCCCTCGTGAATGCACGGCGCGCCAGAAGAGGACAGCGAAGGCCCATCGAAAGACAATTAAAACAAGAAAAGGACAAAAATACAACGGGCGATTTGCTGTCTCTAGAAAACGGACGCACGCACACACACACACACACAGACAAAATTACATAGAGCAGCGTCCAGGGCTCCGGGCGACTGGCGTCAGTGTCGCTCTCGTCGCGGCTTCGCATCCTTTGTGCCTACAGATTTCGCCACCCACCGGGAAACAAACGCGCCGACAGCCGTCAACGTTCTTAGAGCGCAGCTCTTAGGGGCCCGTTCCCGGCTTGAGCGGCGTCAGTGTCGGCGTAACCAAGGTCATCCCAAGGTCACGTGACCCCTCCCCAAGGGTCACGTGACTCCCCAAGGTCACCCCAAAGTCACGTGGCTCCCCAAGTCACGTGACCCCCGGGGTCACGTGACCCCCGACGACGTCATCAGTGACGTCACTGATGACGTCACCAGCATCCGCATCGTCATCATCACTGATGACGTCATCAGTGACGTCACTGATGATGTCACCGGCATCCGCATCGTCATCATCACTGATGACGTCACCGGCATCCGCATCGTCATCATGACGTCACTGATGACGTCACCGGCATCCGCATCGTCATCATCGCTGATGATGTCATCAGTGACGTCACTGATGACGTCACCGGCATCGGCATCATCATTGTCATCATCACTGATGACGTCATCGGCATCGTCACGTGGCCCCCACCCAAGGTCACTTGACCCCCCCCAGTACCCTTCCCTCCTCCTCCTCAAGAGCTGCGCTCTAATTCGGCGTTACAGGGAGTTGTAAACGGCTTTCACTTTTTTTAATGCAAAAGTATTAACTGTCTCATGGATCAAACCGGAGTTATCAGGTCTTGAAGCCGCGCCGAACGGCACATAAACTCCCCTGTCCCAATGGAGCCAAGTCTGTCGTCCATAGTAGCACTCTGATGGATAGGCTCCCATTGGCTGGAGCACGTCATAGTTCCAAGGAACGAGGCTCCCATTTGCTACCGCACGGCGTAGTTCCAAGCACCGCCACCAGAGAAGCCATCACCATGGCGGCGTGGCGGCACGGCTGTTGGTAAGAGGAAGCCGCTGGCCGCGGAGCCAGCAGAGCCTGCCCGGGCAAACTCCGGAAAGGCTGCACACAGTGTTGCCAACTCAAAAATTGAAAACCCGCAGTCAAAATCCTGAAAACTGCTAAATCGAAAACACAGCAGAAAATGACTTTTTAAACATTTTTGTTGCTTTGTTTCTTGCCCAAAGGTGCAATAACAGTATAGATCACATCAGTGTCATCTGAAACCTTTTGCTTTGACTAGAAATCTGTCACGCCACGCCACAGTTCACCCAGGTGATCCGAAGCCAAAATTGCAGAGTGAGCGCATACGAACATGGCAAGGGACCCTTCAGCAGTGGGTGACTGGTCAGACTTCCGTTAGCGGCCGAAACATGCCTCTTCGTTGCAGCGTGCGTGACCAAATCCACGTGCTTCGCAGATAGTTCCATTCTACAATAGTGGCATCTGGCTCGTCTGCTATCACAAAGAGCCTCCTTGCAAAAGCAAAGACGACTGTGGCTGATTATGAATATGACAGGTGCATAGTCCACAGTAAATCGATATAAAACTTCTATATCTCTAAAAAAAAAACCACCAAGATAACAATGACGAAAATAATCCCTGGAGAAGGGGAACAAGAGCAGCATGGCCGCCCGATGGTAACTTTCGGCTTGAGGCTTGAATTGGGATCTGCGGCTTTTCTATTTGTTACTAAATCTGGTAGCTCTAACTGGATCTAGCCTAATGTCGCGCCCTTAACCCAGTCCAATCCAAGGCTTGGACTGGATTTGTAAGGCGTTCCCTTTGCATCGGGTAGCACACTCTAGATTGGGTGAACAAAGCCCGTGCTCCGCTCTAAGCAGAATTTATTGCCCACTTTTCTGCCCCCAAGTCTGCAAATCTTTGCTCAGGGCACTCGATGGCGTTTCTGGGTCCTTTTCCCTGACTGGGCTTGCTTTTTGACAATATCCCCAATTTTTTCCGCCAATTAACATTTCCCTAATGATTCTCCGTTTCCGCAGTCGCTAGACACCCTGCTCTGAAGACAAAACTAATTGGTCTGCATGACTCTTATTTACAGCTAACACTGGTCTTCAAAGTTCCTGCCAACAGTGCCCAGCAGTACTTGGATTTAACAGACTTCTTGCTGACAAGAGGGTACTGCTGAGGAACTGCTTCCATGCTGCTGTCTCCCACTGCTACAAACCCACAACAAATAATTCCTTATCATAAACTTGGTTCTCTCCAACTGTTTGTAGTCTCCACACCACACTTAGTTTCCTGTGCTGCAAGCGAAGGCAGTAACGGCAATGACACACAAGGCAGAAAAAAAAAAAAGCTGCTTTATTTTCAACATTGCAGTTGTGTTACAAGGTCACTCATGGTGACCCTCTTCACTTCGCAGTACCAAGTGTATTCCAGGAGTGACTCAACAGGCAACAAAATAATGCCTCTGCAAATTGACAGCCAAGATCATTACTGCTCTTGCATAGTCAATTATGCATTACTTCTGTACACTGTGTATTAATGTTCAACTACTGTTGCCGGTCAAGCAGTACTATTTCCACACGTGAAAAACCCATCAACACAATTGAGATGCTTTCACCGGTTGCACTCTGGCTGGTACTGCGTTCCAGCGGGTCGCAGGTCGTCTTAACGCACGTCAGGACCTAAGCTAGTACTAACTTTTTTTTTTCTTTATTGCTTTTTATGAACAAATTGCTGTGACCTTTCAGGCAAGGTTGTTGTACAATTAGTTAAGGGCTATACACTATTCGGTAGAAATTATTAGGCTCCATAAGACACTTGAAGTGGGTATATATGTATAAAAAGAATTGGGAAAGAGTTCATCACAGCTACAATGCCTGGTTTCACCTGCATCCATGGTAGCAATCAATAACTAAAACATACAAACATACAGCATGACGATTCCTCAATCTTCCGACGGCTGAGGATCAGTTAGTTTTGCCATTGAGGGTCAAAAGTGCAACTGGCGCATTAGTTGTCTTCCACTGCTATATTACAATGTGTCACACGAATTCTTACTTCTCAGCCGTGCTTGCTGCTAAATTAGCAATTCTCCAGTGCCCAACCTCTACACCAGCAACAGTGCCACTAGGAGGATGCTGCTCTTATCATCAATGAGCCACCTCCAAAAACTACACCTTTGAAAAACAAAACAAGAAGAAATCCCAGGCATTGCCATTGCATTGCACCCGATAAACACCAAAAACATAGGGCTCCCCCCCATTTCTTTTTTCTCCTGGTCTCAAGCCAGCTGGACTGGAAGGAAAACAACACGCAAGCAATTGCAGCAACAATCTAAAAGCCACGAAGAGGCAGCAGCAACAAAGAAGAAAAGGCCGGGGGCACAGCACGCTGGGCAGCTATCCTGATCTCGCCTCTGGGCTTGCTGCAGTGACCGTGGAGGTGCGTGGGTGACGTCGGACTCGTTGGAAGCTTGGGAAGCGGAGTCGACGGTTGTCCGGGGAGACACTGGGTCCTGGCCCCCTTCAGGTCTGCTTGCTCAGGGGATCCAGCGTCTCGACGGAAAAGTCATCCTTGCCGAAGGACAGGCCTCGACTGAAGCCATCCTGAAAGGGACGATAGAGATGATAAGCCATTTGGGAACTGCAATGGACCCCGGGCTCCACAAGTGCTGGCAGACATTGGGTAGGTCTAGAGAGGAAAGGCAAATGACATTTATTCATTTAATAATACTTTGAAGGCACTGAAGGCCATAGAACATTACACGAGAGATGGATGGCTGACAACTTCAATAGTACCATATTTACACAGATGTAGGTAGACCTATTTTAAAATGCTTAAAAACCTTAACTGGCGGGTGATTGAAACCAAAGCGTCCAACCGTTGACAAAGACTAAACAATCACGATATTGGGAGCATCTCTGCTTGTTATGAGTTCGGCCGGCTGTACCTGTAGCGTATCGCCATTCTGTGCACTCGTTTTAAAAGTTCTATTCTTTTTTTTTTATCTGCGCAAACAAGTGAGTATTATGTTAACTGTGATCACGATTTGCAAAATCAGCCCGAATGCACGGCAGCGGGGCGTGCCAGAGTTCCGGGAGTGGGTGCACTCGATGCGAGAGCCATGCCAGAACAACCGCTGGAACAGCCTCACTCTCCGCTGCTTGTGTTTGCGTAATGCACAGTCGCACATAGTTCGATTGAGCATTGAGATTGTGCGACTATGCTGGAGTACCGACTATGTTTCTTTTAATTGACAAGCGTGGTCTAGGCAGTTCAAGTTTGCAACACTCGCTAACAACCACTGTTCATTTGAAAGCAACCAACAACTGCGCTCCTGGTGGCAAGTTTGACCTGTCGGAGAAAGTGGTGAGCCAGTGGCATCTGCAAAGGCACAGAATCTTTTAAGCATGACGGAAAACGAAGAGGCTTCTGCGGGCTGCCAAACTTTGGATATGACCAAATGCTTTTCAGAGTTAGAGGTCCAGCTTGCAATCTATGATGCAGGAGTGCACGATCAACCCATACCCATGACGCGCGACGCGATCACCGAGCAAGCGCATAAGACGTGGTCATTTGTGAAGTGCAAGATTTTGTTGGGAAACGCCGACAATGTGTTTCTTGGGATGTAACAGTGATGAAGACGTGAATGACAACACCAGTATAGACGAAAGACAGTGAGAATGACGGGGAGGAGCTCGAGCTGTCACACCTCCAGTACGAGCTTTCTAACTTGGATAACGCTTCGGCATCTCGTGCACCTCTCATTTGGAACAAAAGTATGCGAGAACGTGTAGAGCGCATGCTGGAAGACAGGCGTTCGAAAGAGGTACCCTGCCGTTCTTCCATGTTTGCCGTACAATGCTCCCCTAAAGTACAATTTCTTTTTCGTCTTGCTGACATTTGTGAGGGGGTCGACATACAATCGAGCCTACTTACAATCGTGTAGAAAAAGTAATAAATACATTAAGGTTAATGGGTTCCATTAATGCTTTATATCTATCAGCTTATCCTTTCAATGTTTAAGGGTGGGGCAGTATGTGCGTAAATCAAGTCTTGCTCAACACTTGAGCCTTCCTGGTCATGATCGGCATTATAAAATCTGGGCTTGCATGTTATGTTCTGGGAGACTCTAGCCCAGCACCCAAAAGTCTCTCCAATGATCAGTGCATGTCCTCTGTGATGTATTGTGGAAGGTATAGGCTGTTAAGCTCCAGCCCATCCTTAATGTAAGTAAACTCATCAATCACTGTCCTCCACTGATAATAATAATTACCTGATAATTAATTGGAAAAGACTCAATAACGTTGCATTCTGTTTTAAGGCATAAAAGGCTTTTTAATGAAACCCCCCAACCTCAAAGTTTTGTCTGTGCATTTTTCGCTAAATTTGGCGGAGATATTGATGTCACATGACCTAACATCATATAGCCTACAATCAGTGGGGAAATTGAATTCATGAGACCTATACGTCCATTCAATTTCCCGACTAAAGTTAACGGCAAACCTCAAATCTTGTGACCTAAACAATCCAGTTTCCCCACTAAATTTAGCGGGAAAATTGACGTGACGTGACCTATACACCAATTTAGTTTCCCCGCTAAACATGGCAGTGAAATTGACGTCACATGACATAACAGCAATTCAGTTACCCTGCTAAATTTAGCAAAAAATAGACCTCATGCGACACCAATTTCCCTCTCCCCATTGCTTCCCCACTTTCTCTCCACATCCCCCCCCCCTCAAGGTGCTGTTTCCCATCTGCCTCCTTTAACCCTTGCTCCCAATCTCTCTCCTTCATTCCCATCTAGCCCAAACTCCCTCCCTGCTGCCTCCCTCTCTCTCCATCCTCCCCATCTGCCTCCCTTCCCCTCATTCCAACCTCCTTGGTCCTGTGACATACGAAATCAGTTTCCTTGACAAATTTAGCGGCGAAATATACGTAGGGTGACCAGACGCACCGTTTTGGCAGGGACAGTCACATTTTACAAATTCATTTCTGCTGTCCTTTTTTTGTCCAAAGGAGCTTAATGTCCAGTTTTTGTGTAAAGATGAATAGTAGTTGCAAAATCAGTACTAAGCAAATGGAAGAAAACTGAAAGAATGTTTGCTGGTCACGGACTTAATGTTACTATAATAAACATATTATGTGGCAACTGCTAATACTACATTTTGTTCACATAAACCTGGATGCGAGAGACTCTTCTACATTACTGAATTTGACGTGCTTTGGTTGGCAACATTTCTTCAGTGCTTGTGTTCTCAAGAAGGGACTTTGGGAAAATGTTTGTGTTTATGCACCCAATCTCCTGTATTCGGTCGGAGAGATGGCTTTCTCCCGACCTGCGTGCCTCGCGGCCGAGCTCGATTACGAACATAATGTAAAATGTGTTTTAAAGCATGTAATGTAGAAAAAAAAAAAACATTTGTGCAAACATGGTACTCCCTTTCACCTTGCAATGAATTGCAGCAGGTGCTACGAGCCATGCAGCCGATCCCGTGCCGTGAACGTACCACGTGACCACACACGGCATTGGATTGGCTTCGATAACTCGTAGTGTCGTCTGTGGTCAATGGTGAAGTGAAACGGAGCATAGGGAATGCAACGTGCATAGGACACCCCATTCCCAGACGGATCCTAGACTTTTCTTCCCCGTTTGTTCTCCCAAAAAGAAAAGGACGACAAGCACTCCCTTTGGAAGGTTGGGCTCACCCGCATTTCGTTGAGTTTCCGGTCAATGATGCCAATGGCGTTCTCCAACTCTTGGGCCCCCAGACTGTCCGAGGCAAATTCGCCCATGCCGAACGGGTCGGCCGTCTCCTTGCTCGGCGAGAACGGCTCCGCTCCAAACAGGTCCTTGGCGTAGGGCAGCTCGGAATTTCCTGAAGTAAGCCGAAATCTCAACTTGTACCACAATACTGAAGGGATCCGAGAAGGCATTTACTAGGGGGCGTGCGAATACTGGCAAAAATCATGCACAGTGCGAGAAAAAGCTACAATTTACCGGCTCCCTTTGCTAGTCATGGCACTGTGCCATTCGATTTGAATCCTTATTGGCAGACCCTGTAATACTGTATTTGCTCATGTATAATAGTCATCAAAATTTGTATAAAATCAGAGGAGGAAAAGTAGGCGGCGCGTTATACACAAATTATGGCGGGCAATGTGACTTTGCAGCGATGCATGCAAAGTCCTAGAAATTGATTCCCCAGAGAACCTCTTCTGTGATCTCTCCTAGGGATTTTTTTCTCCCCACCTTCTTTCGTCGTGCCCGAGGGTGACCAAAACAGCTGTTGGAGCCAAGTCAGCTCTCCTTTTCGTCTAATAGTGTCTCTTGGTTTTAGTTATTGTGGGAGTGTGTCCCTCCCTACTTGTGGCTTCATCTCTGGTGGCTTCATGTCACCTCCAGAAGCTTCCGGCGTGACTGCACTCTTTCCTGACAAGACGGTGCGGAACAGTTTCAAAAACTGCTGCATCAGCAATCGCTTTGACGGCACAGATTACGACGCTACCTGCGACAATGACGGCACCTCGGATAGCTACAGTGACTGCAGTGACCGGTGTATTCAAAATAAAGGTAAGAGTTTTAACAATATCTTTACATTGGTTTGCGCGGTTAGTGTGGGCAATATGAGAGGTATTTAAAATATTTTTTTCCTCCGAGAGGAGTAAGTTAGGGCTACGGGTTATACGTGCAAAAATACGGTATTTATTTACGCTTGCCGAGATGCTTACCAACACAATCTGTGGCAGGTCAATTACTCGGAAAACATATTTGCATCTGAAAACCCGTTTTCTCTTTTTCTCCACAAAAATTACTGCTAGAGAATCAGGTCTTCAAAACTCCCCTTGCTCCGTTCCCTGGTCAGATACGGTGACGATCTGGAACGCAAAACATTTTCAAAACACCCTTCACTATCTAACGCACATATTCAAAATTAAAAGTAATGCAATCCAAGATAACGTCACTTTGATGACTGTTGGAGCACCAAGACGTGTGTTGATTTATGAAGCTGAGAGCACAGCTAAGGGGAATCAGTTCCAGCGAATTTGCGAGGGGTGACTCTATATAAACCCCGTGCACCCTTATGTCACAGCCCCTGTGCTCCTTCTCTGGTTTCAGTTTGACTTTGTTTTTCGCAAATGCACAACTTTGAAATGCACAAAATTATTGGTAGTTTCTTCGTACCATAATCTACAGCTTCCTGCAAAAAAAAACATTATAGGGGTGTCAGCTTCCTGTTGAAAAAAGATGCTCCTCGGGACAATATTTTTTTTTTTTAAATATTGAACCTAGAACCTTTTAAATATTGGATCTAATTTGCACAGTTAGTGCACAGTCGTGCTGCACTGGCAACATTGCTCATCTACAATGTAAACCAGTGTCGCCCCTACTGGCAGACCAACCTTACGCTGTATAAATCATTAAAACGTCCAATATGACTTAACTTTGCACATTGAGGTCCTCTTGCCATATTTGCAATCGGTTTTCTGATAACTACCTTGGTGAAATAGCTATGCCTTTATCATGCACATAAAATGCCGAAAATGAACCTGGAGAAGGGGAACAAAGGGACAAAGGACAGACATAAATCTCCAAACACAGCTAGGTGTCTGTCCTTTGTCCCTTTGTTCCCCTTCTCCAGGGTTCATTTTCGTCATTCTTGTCCAGCTCGCTTGCCCCTTTGCATTTAATTGCATTATAATTATAACATAAAATGCCTTTTTTTTGTGCACACAATTTCTTCTAAAACTTATACAAGACTGCAACTTACAACAGCCACGTTGGTTCCTTATAAACTGTAGAACGTACAAATCTAATTCGAAAAAAAAAAAAGCTTGCGTTTTAAAAAAGAAAAACAATTATAAATGTTTGAGTAATTGTATTTCATGTTTCATTTTATATCTTTTATAAAAATTCAAAGATACCAATTGCACAACTCGCAAGATTTGCCCACTATGACCCATCAGGAGCATCTGTGCAAAATTTTGTTGTAATACAGTAACTCCAAGCGGCAAAAATTGTGCACAAACTATGAAAACAAACGAAAATACCAATTAGAAAAAACTGATTAGAAAGTTTATTTTTATGTGATATACGTAAATTCTCACTCAGATAACAAAACTTTGTTGCAATGTAGTTCCAAATGTCACTGTCTGAACCTCCAAACTAGAATTCCCCAGCTATGTAGGTTGCACCTTTGCGGCTGGAGTCCTCGGCACGGGCACGCTTCGCCTGGCTGCGTTTGTGTGACCTAACCTCAGCTGTTGGCTTACTGGTCGCCTTTCCGACCCTCCTCTGGTCGCGCACGTTGCTCAGCCTGACTAGCTGCTTTGAAGGGAGGACACCCAACTCCTACAGCACTTGCTCGAAGCTGGAGTGGCACCAGCTGTACAACAGCACAACGATGGCGGTGGCTGCCTTCACTGCAGTCCGTGATGCAAACAGAGTCTTTGAGCAGAGCATCTACATCTTACTGTTCAAAGACTCTGCAGCGTTTTGGGTCTTTCCCCGCAGGCAGCGAGCAAGGAGCTTGGCATCTGTAAGGCGTTTGTAGATAGCCAGCACTGCTTTCCCTTGAGCCTTAGTCACGAGTGGGGTGTAGTCCGGTGTTGGCTCTTGCAAAGCCTGGGCTTTCCTGTGTTTACACCATGACTCTTCCCCGTCGGGGCAGAACTTGTGACTGTTAGCATCGTTGGTTGAGCATCAATGCAAGTAAGAACCCCATATCACTCGGTACATTCCATGGATGCTTTCTCTGTTGCTGGTAATGGCCACCTGATAATAGTTCTGCAGCTTCTGAATGACCTTGTCACCCAGCTTTTCCCAACGTGGTAGTGGCACCTTGAGCTTCCACAGCGCAGTACCAAGACGCTTTGTGATACGATTGGTGCAATTCTCCTTCGTCACCATGGTGGATCCACACACCTCTGCTTCAGAAAGTGCAGTGTATGCTTTACTGTTGCCGTCACTAAGAGATGTGGTGTAGTGCAGCTGCCTGTCACAATTGCGTCCTTTTCCAGATCCGTAGTGCTGCCTCAGTTTCCAAGGCATGGGACGAGCAGTTCACATTCTTTTCTGAACCGAGGAATGCTTGCCACACTTCCTCATCTTGTTCGTCGAGAATTCGATATCTGCTACAACCGTGACAGTAGTTGGACGGCACCTTAAAGGGATTGTCCGGTCGAAACCGGAAGTACTTAAGTTCTTGCGCTCGTTACGCCGAGGGAGCCTTCATATAGACAAAGGTCATTTTTATTTTGATATATGATCTCCCGTTATTAATTAAACCTTTCATGATCCTATGTACGAAACTGCACCCCGAATTTCGCCAGTGTCAATGGCTGACATCCGTAGGTGCTGCGTGACGTCACAAAACGCAAAGGTTTGTCGGATGGTCGGGATGACAAGCGTTGGTCGATGGATGTCTTGTATTTTGTTTCGAATTATATAGTCTCCTAGGCTGTACCCTACTGAAATACGGTTCTTTTAATGCAGTTCCCAAGCACGTGCAAAAAAAAGTCACACCTTTTAGCGGGATATTACTTGCAGACAGCCAGAAAGCTTCGAGCAAATGCATGCTGTTTCGCGCAAACACAACCGCGACCAAACCGCGACGGACGCCGATCGAACTAGGGGCGCTTGCAAAGCAAAGGATGCAGATTTCGCCTCTGAAGCGGCACTTAGGTACACGAAGCGGCATCTGGGTACACATTTTGGTGGATCCACTGGATCGGTGATGAGGCTGCGGGTCATTCCCTCAGAGGTGACGTCCGCGGGTCAAAGGCAAACGGCGAACCGTTCAAATGCATGCCGTCACTTGACTTGTACGAGCTTGGTGAATCGTAGCTACGCTCCATTTTCACACGCGGGCCAAACAGATATCGGGCTGCACGCGTGCTAAATACAAATTCGAGATGGCCAAGCTGTTGGTTTCGGTTTCGCTTTATAATCAAGGTCTGTTCGATTCGGCCAGGAAGTTCTGAACTATAGTTGGTTACAAGTCAAGAAGGTAGCGGCAAATGCCCCTCATAGGAAATCTTTGCATTTCGACGATAGGTTTGCGGCATCAGGATGATTTTGCGTCGGGAGTCACTGGCGGCAGTGCGCGGTCGGTATACCGGTCACCTCGAAGACGAAAGTCTGACGATAGCGTCTTGGACAAGACAGTTATCGACCCTAACTTTGGCGTCAAGTTGAAGCGAGGATCGGCAAAAAATGACGATTCTCGGCGTTTTTCCCAAGCCCGTTAGTGGGCGTCTATAGATACCAGCGGGGACATGCGAGTGCCAACGCACTAAATCCCAGACCTCCGCAATGTATCGGAGTCGTCAATATGCATCCAAGAGTAACTGAAGGCGGGGACTATCAAGAGGGCAATACCTTTCCCGTGCCTAGGCACGGGAAAGGTATTGCCCTCTTGATAGTCCCCGCCTTCATGTAAATTGTTTCTTTTTGATGCTATGTGGGGGGTCCACAGTGTTGATATTCTTACTTACAGCTGTAAGTAAGAATATCAACACTGTGGACCCCCCACATAGCATCAAAAAGAAACAATTTACATGAGCCAATATTTCAACACTCACCACAGGGAGCCACACCTACGCGAGCAGGTGCCTAAAACGCTTTTAGAATATCATAATCAAGCAAATTCCTACCCTCGGTTATGATCTCAATTCCGCGTCCACCGCGGGTACGTTATTATCATAAATGAAAGGAAATGCAACCTCCGTATCGGTGTTATTGTAAACATCGACGACATTTGAGCAAGCGCTGCGAAAAATGGCACCGCGAGACGGACGAGGAGTTTGCTATCGCCGTCTGCTTCTGCACGGACGCTGAACCGAGTCCGGAGCCGGTGCAAGATTTTGAGTAACTGGGTCTGAACTCTTTCAGAACTGGGATGAATCGAACGCGCCAGTGCAGCGGTCGTGCAACTTCCGGTTGAATCGAATGCACCAGTTCCTGCACTGCCGAACTAGCCGAGCCAGTTCAGGCGAATCGAACAGACCTACATTGACTCATCCGATTTGGGCGAGGAGTGGGTGGACGTAGTTTAATATCCTTGGCACAGCATCGGACCTCAGCTTACAAGCCTTCTGTCCGCTTAGAGCTCAGCTCGTAGCTCTCTTCTGTGAGATGATTGCTGCATAAGCGGGATCTCAATCTTGACGGGAACCCAGTCCCTACGCACGGCGACGATCCACTTTGCTCGTCACTGCACGTCTCGCGGAAAAGTGCGGAACGTCATGTCTTGGCTCGCATGTGCTGCCCGGTGGTTCTGGCGCCCAACCGCGCAACAAAAATCTCACCCATCCACGAAACAAGTCGAGCACAACAACAAAAACGAAGCACGCTGAGGCGTTCACTTGCAGGCAAACGACGAGACAAAAATGCTCGCTTTGTGTTTTGTGACGTCAGAGCTTCGATGTTGCCAACGAAAGCAGCGTTTCCGCCAGAATGCGATTGGAGCAGTATAAATTCAATTACCCACGCAGAGGGGCATATAAAATTCAGATATTGCATGTACGATGTGTCTCGAGGCAATAACGATGATATTCAATTGTTTTCTCGAGTACAAAATTTGACCGGACAATCCCTTTAAAGTCCCTGTGTCGATAGAAATGGCAGTGCCCACTCTGTTGTGAGTCTTGTGTCCATGCTTTTGCCAAGTGCCATTGAACAGCAGTGACGTTGGTTTGACCCTTGCAGTTTCTACAAGGTTGTCCGAAAGTGCTTCAGTAGTGGCAGCGACATGCACTTTCTTTAATATGCCGTGGAAGGTCTTGTGATGAAGTGCTTTGGGCAACCCAAGAACGGCACAGAACCTTAAGGGGGGACATGGGCCTAAATTTTAAATTTCTTTGAAAAAATTCATTTTTTAATTTTGAGGTTTTCAGTTTTAGAAACTAATTATACACCCTTACACCAAATTTGATAACCATACGCCAAATAGTTACGTTGATATAAAATATTTTCAACACATTGTGAGGCAGTAACAAAGTAAAGGTGTTCAATGTTAGAATGCATTTTTCTCAGTTCCACTTTTTGCTGCAAATTTCATACGAAGGAATCTTTTGTTCGAAGGTGAAAGTATTCTGATACCACAATCAAGATGTTTCTGAACTGAAATTTACTCAGGAATCGGGCTATCTACTTTATTTTGTTTTAGGTTGAAGTCCTCAGTGATAAAAAAACTAAGTTTTCAAAAATTGACGGAGGACAGATATGCATCTCATAGTTTCAGGTAATAACTCTTCCTGAAATATTTACATTTAAGTTATTAAAACTAGATAGCCCGAGGTCCCATATCCCCCACTTTATATTCAAGCAGTCAAAATGATGCTTAATAGCTTAATTTGCATATCATAGATTTCTTAGTGAAAAGTGACACATCGTCTTATGCAGGTATGTAAATTTGTCTTAGAGGGCTGAAAGCTTGCACAGTGCACCTACATCTGAAGCTAAATCTCCCCTGCAAATTTCATTCCGATCACTTGAGTAGTTCGAAAGTTTGACCTCTAGCCAGTGTCCCCCCTTAAGAGTTGGTCATGTTCGACGCCAATCGTGTGAGCAGAAAGCACAACTATGATGTTAATAGCGAAACTGTCGCGGGCACTTCTCGTGTTGACAAGGGCCACAATATTTGCGGCTGGCGGCGGCAGTGGCACAATGTGATGAATATGCAGCAGAAACAACGTCGGCGGGACATCCATCGTTCATGTACTTCAGCTCAAGAAGGAAAGCGAGACCCTTGCGCTTGTCCACAGCCTCCACAACAGCGAGTTCGCAAGTCCCACACACCCCGTACACCGCGCCGCTCATGAGTTGCGTAAGAATTCCAACTTCGCAGATTACAGCGCTTGTGCCGCGCCCACTCCTCGCTGTAACATCACCTTGAAATGTTAGCAGCTTCTTTTCCGATGCATTCACAAAGTTAGAAGCATCAACGACGAAATCAGACAAGTTTGACAGGCCGGTGCTTGCGATGCTCAAAAGCGCATCGCCATTCTGTTGGCGCAATGGGGCGGCAGTGCTTTTTGTGCTCTTTCGCTTCTGTTTATGTTTCCCCTTGAATGTGCGTATAGTCTCACTCTTGCAGCAACGAAAGTCGCGCTTTTCAACATCACTCATAATGGAAACCCTTGAACAGCGAACAGAAGAGATGGTTCTTGTTCGAGACAATGACAATGCGACGCGACACCAAACGATACGCGGGCTTTACTGCACGACAGGTACGGGCGGCAGTGAACGGCGGCTCCGCATTTGCATCACGGGGCTTTTTGAAAGCCAACTAGAAACGTCATGAGCATGTAGGAATAATCTTTTTTTTCATTGTTTCTAGCTTGATTACAAAACTAAAGGAGGAGTCACCAGAAAGAAGAAGACTTGATTAGGTATTTTTATCAAAGCGACTGCAAAGGCGGCCACTGCCAATGTTTGGAGGGGTCGGTGGCCGAGTGGTCTAGCACACACCAACTCGGAGCACGTGGAGCAAAAGCTCGCGCTGCAGAACCCAGGGATCATGGGTTCGAGCCCCACCCCTGCCCGTTTCGATCTGGATGAGCATCGTACCGGCGTGCGGTCGTGTATCACTACTGCGTGATGCACGTTAAAGACCCCAGGCTAGCGGCTGTACCGCACTGGCTAAATTTCTCATCTACACCTGGGAGACTCGTCGCCCCTGTGAGGCAGACCAAGTTCTAGGCTGTATAAACAAACACACACACAACCCAAATTTTTTTTTTTGGAGGGGCGCTGGTTTGAAAATTACTAGCATGTGCCAACATGTGTGATTTGTTTTGACGTGGCAGGGCGTTCAAATAGATTTTTTTGTAACTTTTAGATCGAATTTCTGAATAATTTTTTTTTGTATATGAAACTAAAAGGTATGCGGAACTAATAAAATCGAAAAATTAAAATTTCAGCACAAACAAAATTTTTTTGACCCGCATCTCCCCTTAACAGGAGTACCCCGCCACAATTAACACTTCGAAAAATATGAATAGTGCAGTCCTTCTCGAAGCAAACATCGAATAGTGTATTATCCGAAAATACTATTTGAAATTTCCAATATTCACAGAACCCTACTCACTTTGTCTCCGATGTATGTTGGAGCCAAACTTGCAATCCCATGGCATTGAATTATGAGGTCATAAACTATAGTGCAGTGCTTCTCAAATGGGGGTCTGCGAAGGCATTCTAGCAATCCGCGAAGCCCAGCCTCATCAGTCAAGCCCGGCATAAATTTTCTTTTCTCAGATTGAGAAGAAACGTTCCAATTTTTGGCCGCATTTCTAGCGTATATGTCAATAAGAGAAGCCTACTTCACTTTAGTCTTTAGTTATTACCATTTATTAAATCACTATCATAATTAACCTATACCTTTCCCTTCCTTTGACCACGAATGGGGTCCTCCATCATTTCCGCCGATCCACAAGGGGTCTGCGAAACATCAACGGTTGAGAACCACTGCTACAGCAAATACATAACAATTTTTGTGTTACCAAGATATATAATTACGACCACAAATCACCCCAAAAATGTCGATCGAGGGAAAGATTCAATGTTGGAAAAGTAAGATTTACATGAATGTTTTTATAATGCAGACAGTGGCCCGTACGTACCGTTGGTGCAGTACCCGTTGGACTTTGGTGGTGCTTCCAGCTCAGCGCGGGGATTGAAGTCTTCTAGATCATCCACTGCCAGGTTCTCCAATTTGGTACCCACTGTGGGCAGCGTCAGGCCCAGCAAATCCTGGCGGAGATAAAGTGCATCATCTTACATCAGAAAGCGGCACACCAAAATATCAATTGGGCCTGCTTCAGACACATCAATTTTCTCCAGCATCTTGACACCGCAACATCACCCACATGGGGCTCTTGTAATCATGCACAGCAACCGCTAAAACTCGAGATGCTACATTTTGTCACCGTCACCACTCAAATTGTATTTTTCCTGTCCTATCTAGGCACGAGTTATGTATTAATACAGTGTAGACCACTTACAACGTAACCGCTTATACTGCAGGACCGGTTATAACACGGCTTTTTTTTAAACCACTGGATTGCCTCCCGTAGAACTCCATGTAATTAAATACCGCTTAAAATGCAGCATGCAAAGGGAAATACCGGTTATAGTGCGGTTTCTGGAACAGCCCGCCGACTGCGCCGACTGACCGGCGCAGCGAGCACGCTTCCCTGTGCGACACAAGATAACGGCGCGAGCCACAAGCGGCCCTCGCGGGGCAAGGAGGTTGCTCAAAGAAGCAGGGAGAAGCGAAGAGAGAGGCTTCAGTTGGCCATAGCGACGGAGGGACACACGCACGTGTCGTTCACGTGCGTGCGTTCCTCCGCTGCGTTGGAAACAACCGCAACGACAGACCAATCGCAGGTCGAGGAGAAGTGTTCGCGTGCGTTGCATGCCGGTCGCGGGCCGGCTGCTTCTATCCGCAAACATGGCGTTGGTTGTGATCGTCGACGTAGACGGCGTGGTGGAAGCTCATCGTTCCGCGTAAAAGCGCTATCCTTGACTGCAAATTTTCGTTGTGTGTCGCTATGATAATCCAGCACGTACTAGAAGGGAAGATCCACCTACTTGTGCAGCGATGTTGTGGCGGCACTCTCAAGACGGCAGAAACGCCCGTGTCGTCGTGTTTGTTTACTTCGTCTACAGTGGCGCTTTCTAAGCATTTGTGTTTTCGAACATCGCCCGGATTTCTTATTTGGAGCACTTCATGCCTGTGCTCAAGTTGAAGGTATTACTGGCGCGTACCGTAGAAGGGATGCGAATTTTCACGCGTTTTCATCGCTGGAGAAAAGTTATTAGGGTTAGCAATCCTGAACGCTCGCAACATCCGTCCGCAACCCCCGATGCCGTTAAAAGGCTGTGCCAGGCAAAAGTCTCTCATTTCTTTCAAAATGTGTGACACACTTCAGAGAGAAGTGTACTAGCAGTACTAGTCTGGTGAAATAAAGACTTTCCTCAAACTAAGCTTTATTTTTTATCTAACATAAAATAAATTCTTTTACAAAGGTAAGTTGTATGATGGCATGTATTTTGGCCTGAAAAATTGATGTTTCGGTTATAGCACGGTACCACTTACAGTGCGGATTTCCGCAACTCCCGCAACATACATTATATGCGGTCTACACGTAGCACACTTTTATGCTACCTTTAAATGGTTTTTGTGAATACTAGCTGATCTCCTTGAAACAACTTAGTTGCAAGAACTATCCATTGCAAATTAATTTACACGCACAATGAACACACTTTTTTCCCAGAAAAATTTACACATATTTGGCATTACTAGGGGTAAAATTTTGGCATTTACACACTTCGCGCAAATGTCATTTTAGGTGCCAATATGAAACGACAGGGACAGCACATCCGTCCCCACCGACGAATGCGCACCCAGGGCTGGTTGTGGGCACACCACAGTAACCATGCTCTTTAAATAGCAAACCTTTCTAAGGGCACTTTCAGCGTGCCTTGTGCAGAAAGAAAAGCACCCTACGAAGCTCATACAGCACGGAGAGGAACCAGACCGTTCTTAGGCCTAACCACTTCCACGATTTCTGTCTGAAAGCGGACCACAAACGAAGACATGTTTTTTGACATCAATGTATCTGATGGACAAAGCATGTCCAGCGCTGGGAAATTCCTCGCTCTCTGCTTAGTTAGGCGTGCGTGCCGCTCCGTTCCACGGTTCACGACTTCCATGACTACGCACTTGCAACCATTACGAGACCGGATCGGCTTGACTTGACTTGGCCTGGCCGCTTCGCAGCAAATGAAAATTGGCTTTGTGGGCTTGGTGGCTACCTAAAATGCAGCAGTTCGAGACTCCTGGAGCCAAAAACGGGAGGTGCATTCATTACACGAGGGAAAACAAAAGTCAAAAGATTGATGCCCATTGTGGGGGGTGCATTTATTATGCGAGTAAATATGGTAGGACAAAGTTAAACCCCCATATTCCGTTATCCACAGGAATCACGTTGGCTGCAGCCGCTTAAAACGTCTCAGTTGCTGGAGTGGCTCGCCCATTTCAAGCAGAACCCAATCGCAGGAGATTGTGTCGAAGCACAAGGATCTAAATAAAAAATCGCCAGCAACCCGAAATTACTAAAAAAAAACCGCAGTGTTTGAAGCAGGTTCTGGGCATGCTGCAGAGCAGGTCAAATTCGTTACAACACTGGGTTTGGGCAAGCTGTAGGGATTGTGAATGCCATGGTACGAACTACCGTAAAATACTGAGCATGAGCATGCTCTATTGACCCCCAAAACTTGAATTCTAATTAGGCACGTTTCTGTTGCCTCACGAGAAGGCAAATTTGGGAGTTCCTTTTGTTTGTTTCGTAAAATGTTTGTAATTACACTATATTCTGTTGCCACGAAAAAATTTACATTTCGGTGAAAATTTGTTATTGAAAATAAGATGCATATCGTAATTTAGCTTTCTTACAAACTCTCTGGCTCCAGCGGTGTAGAGACAGTGCAACTTCAAATTCAAACAAAGGTGCATAAAGGCGGTACATGTGCCCGCATCATGGAAACCAGAAAACCGTTGCGACAAGACATTCATTGCCGAGGTTTAGGCCGCTATCCCAGAAGGAAACTATGGAAAACGCTCTTTCCAGGGACACCCTAGGAAAAAAACCTTGGCCAAGGGTAGAGGCATAGCAAATGCATTCGACGGGTTCGACGTCGTCACCTTTGTCTCCAAAGACAACGATAAGACGCCAATCGAACGCCTGGAACTTGTTTTCAGGTTGTATTCCGAGGATTTGCTCTGTGCCTTTGACCACAATTAAGAAATGTTAGCTAGAACAGCGCTCACCAGACTGCATATTTGCCTTGGCCACCATTTCTTTTGTGGCTGCCATTTTGAATTTCGGCCCCTACCCAATGAAGTGCCCCCTCCCCCCCATATTTTGAGTGACCTATCTCACATTTTGGAGGGGCAAATGCTCAGTATTTTATGAAAGCACCTTACCGAAAGGTATACATTGCAGATGAATGTCGAAATGTGTTCGGTTGGGTTGGTTATCTCTGTGGTCAGACAAAGATTCTATTCAGTGCAATCCAGCGGTAAGACAGAATGCATTGTGTCTTACCGCTGCTTTGTGGCGGTGTTGCACAGATGAACTTGGTATCCATCTTGTGCCTCAACGGCATGAACATTGTCGTGCATGCTGTCTCAGAAACAACGCCCTGCCAGAGCACTCCAGTAGGAGTGGAATGCAAAATTAGTATCTTCTGTGGTCGCACACTCCATCTGTGACCCTGTTACTTCCGAAACACCTGGTTTCCTTCGAAGAACGTGCTATCTCCCGTCACATGTGTGAGCTCGCTCAGTCGCTACCAGATAACAAAGGGCTTAGAGCTGGATTTTCTATAGCGTCTCAGCATTGGACAGAGGACTGGACAGAGGACAGAGTGCTGAGTCTGCGTTCGGTTGGGCCTTGTCTTCTATCAGTGAGAACACAAGCTTCATTGCAGCACACGTGTGACACTCTTCGCTATGGGAGAGCGTTACTGGGGAGTGGCGAGCAGCAAGCCATATCACACGTCCTCTGTTAAAGAAAAGGGGGTTGTGTGTCTGTGGTGCTTCGCCTGCAGACTCTTCTCTGTTCTTTAAAAAGAAAAGGCCATATTCTGCCGATTAAATTGAGCCGAACCCAATAGCATAACTGAGCATCAGATGTCCCCACACCTCAATTCAATAGATACACTTTGTTTCTTTAATTGCTGGAGATGCAGTGCAGTCATGGCGACGGCGTGCGCCATGCCTCGTTTGAAGGCCAAGTGCTGCTCTATTTTCTTTCGTCTCGGCGGCACGACGAACGCCCTGTGTAGCCACTAAGGACGAGAGGAGGCTTGATAGAGGAGGGCAGGACAAGTAGAGCAAAGCAGGCCAAATCGTTTCGTGCAACAAACAATTTTCCGGTGGGGGTGATGCCCAAAGAAGAAATGTTGTTGCATTTAAAATTTCACGTGCACCAATATTACGGTTCATAACCCAAAATACGGTGTGCAGGGATGCCTGCATTTCAAAACGTGAAATGGGCAGTCACCTGCGAATGCAGCGCGTGCTCTGCCCCACGGGGCGGGACTGGAGGTGGCAGGGGCTCCGGGAGCTTGGTCGTAGACGGGGCTGTGCCGCTGCCGTTACTGGACACCACAATGGGACCTGGACTCTGCACGCAGAAAAAGAAAGGGCACTTGGAACATCTGCTTCGCTCATAAACTGGGCAGCGAATATTACCCTCTAATTTACAATTCCCTCTGTTTTGGTTTAAAATTTGATAAAGCAACTGTCAACCTCAAGCGATTATTCATTTAAACTCTGAATTACGCCGACATGTAATGGACACTCGAATGAAGCCCTTTATTGTAATTAGGTACCTCTTGGTAAACCAAGTTTAGTGTTCTAAACCAGTTCAAACAATGCCACCAGTGACAACTGTATTTCCACAAACTCAACATTTCACAAATTTCGAGAAAGGTGAATGTCGGGAATGCTCTGCAGGCTCAAAATTTTGCGATTGGATGTGATATGCTATGTATTTGTTACCATGGGTAATATATTTGCACAATCCATTTTTTTGCAATCATTTTCAAGTCGCAAAGTTTGCGAAAATTAGGTCATCACCATTAAGTCATCGACAGTATTTGAAACTAGAGGTAAGAGAAGAAAAATGTTGCTTGGCTTAGGTACAGTAAAACCTCTATGATACATTCTGGAAAAACTGCGAGAAAGAAAACATTACCCGGGAAAACGTATGATCCGAACTTTCCATTTTTAAGCACACACACACACACACACACACACACAAAAAAAAAAAAGCAATACCCAGTCCAAGAACAGGCAAAAACAAGCAGTTCTCCAATGGCGTCGCGAAAGCGATGCCATCGCAGAATGAAACGAGCTTACAGGGCACAGGAACAATGCTGAAATGGTGGCGAAACAAAGAAATGCCAGATTCTTTCACTTACTACTACCGCTAGTACTCCCTTGTGTGTCCTAGTCTGGAGTTACCCTTCTGCACTCTAGCAATTGGTTCTTTCAACCCTCCGTACAATGCCTCAGAGTGCTTGCTGGAGTTACCGAGAGTGACCCATAATCCTGTGTCTACTTTGGAAATGCATAAAAAGTCATAAGCAAACATACTGCTCTGGTGTTGACAACTGAAGTGAACATGTGTCCGCACGGGCGAAGCTCAATCGGTAGACAGCCATATTTGGGTTTCGATTTTTGTGCTGCTGCTTCCGTTACTCGTCATGACAGCATTTGCGCCACTTTCGCCAGCAGTAGCACTTGACGAGAAGAAAACGAATGGCAGCATCAGATGGAGTACGCCGACTAAGGGGTGCGGACGCTAACTGCCAACGGCCGAGAACGCCGCCGGTGAAGAGTGTAGAGGTTCTCGCCCAAGCCGCCGGAGTTGCAATAGAGATGCGCAAAGTATGTACTCTGAATCCTTTGTTATTATTTCACGAGAAGGATCTTTTGACTAATCGAATAATGAGCTAAGACAGTAAAACCACTCTGTGTGTTCTGCAATTCCAATCAAAACGTCTTCATGCACCTGGACGGCTCTCGGAAGTTGCGGAGAAAAATAGACGCAGCGGCAGCGTTATCAGCGGGCAGACTGCTCTGCATGCACGCGCCGTGTCGTATACCCCTGAAAACGTCTGCTCAGCACTCGTTCGTTGAGACCGGCTGTTCGGAGCTCTGAATACGCTAGTGCAGTGTTCATTGCGAAGAAACGTATAATCCGATCGACATTTGGCAAAATGTTGAGCATACTTTCCGGGAAATCGTGTTGTCTAGGAACGTATGAACCGGAAAAGAAACAGAGCAACTCTGTAGGACGCTTCTTGTGCCCTCACTTGTGAATGTGTGAACCAGAAAATCGTATGAACTGGGAATGTATCAACAAGGCTCTACTGCATTTTGCCAACTGAAATGAAGGTTCAATAGCACCCGATAGGGTTGGTCCACTTGTGTTGGTTGCACCATAGGAGGAAGGGGGAGTGTAAATGGTGTACAAACACTCATCTCTACCACCCTCCCTTCCATCACCTTTCCTTTCTATTGTGCAACAAACACGAGCAAGCAAGGTCCACGGATGGTTCCCATTTAAAGCTATCATTATGGAAGGGACAGCACCCAACATGACATGTTGTGTATTGTCCCCTTTTTTCGTCTGTCATTCCCGGTTTCAAACATCTGACCAGCCTGCCCGCTTGCTTGCTTGCTTGCTTGCTTACTTACTTTGTCTTTGACAGTCTACTGTGTTGCGACCGGCCCTTTTAATGGAAAGGGTTAAAATCAAGTAGAATGGATTCCCCTAGCATGTCTATATAAAATAACCACCAATGTTTCTTTTCTTTTTTTTAAATTTTAATATTCTATTTTTAATTTACCCAACCTTTTTTTTTTTTTTTTTAAATACTGTTGAAAGATATTTTTCTCAGCCATACTTTTATGTTTACATTACCCAATCCTGTGGTATTAAAGCCAGACATCAGGTGCTAAGTACAAAACAAAGCAACATCTTTCATAAGTTAGTAATTAGTAAACAAAAAAGTAGTAATACACAAGCAACAAGCTTTTTTTGCTCCCACTGCACACTAGTTCCTCTACAGTAAAGTTGGCTTACAAAAATATATATCTTAATCACTGTATTAGTTTCCAATATTTGTGCCACATTCTTTGCCATAACTTAAGGTAGCCAGAAGAGACAAAAGTCCCCTACTCTTTTGGCTTGGTCACAAGTTTGTTGCTTCAAGTTGATTCAAAATTTTAAGTGAGAAACATTATCCTCTAGTGACAAGTCCATTGTAAGACAGACATACAGCAGAGAAAGGGGCATCCACTCAGGAACCCCCCCCCCCCCCCCCCCCCCCAATGAGGTTCTGTTATATCAAAATGACTGTTCTAAAAAAGAGCCCTATATAAAAACCATACCTAAAGATTTCCCATTTTAATTCACCATCTACTGCCATCTAGTGCCATACTAGTTTAGCCTAGTACTACAACCTGCAAGGTCTGCAGTATTTCTTAAACTGAATAACTGGGCAAATAAAACAGCTAACCATCACCTTGGTCTTGGTCCTGTGGTTGTGTGTCTGAGGTCCCCCCACGATGTAATCTAAGTCCTTTAGGCGCTTGCGCAGCTGCATGTTTTCTTCTTCCAGGTCTTGAACCTGAGAGGTCAATGGTACAACACAAATCTCTCTGAGAAAAACGAAAAGGACGGTCTCCAGACTGGTGGAATGTCGCTGACTTGGTACATGCACAGAACGGGCTGTTGCAAGAAAAAGTATAGAAAGTGACCTTACCCGCTTCTGCATCATCATGAACTGCTTCCTCATCTCCATGTCTCTGCCTGATGTTTCGAGAAACTTGCGATACGCCAAGTCAAAAGCTTGACCAATGGTCAGTGTAATCTCCTCAGCCTGCAAGAAACAGGAACCATTAGTACATGCAGTAGATTTACATTTTCCATAATACTCATGGTGGTCAGTATAGCGGCTTTCCTCTGATGACATGACTACAAATGCATGTGAGAGGTTGTTCAAACTATAAATTCTGTTAATGCTACTACACATCGACATATTAGAGACAGTAAAGTGAACTATAAATTCACCCAAAACATAAATACATAGTCCTCTTTAGACATTTCATAGAAACCTGTAATATGGGTAGAGCGATTTTAGTATCGAGACAAGAGGGGGCAAAACCAAAACAAAATAATTAGCTAACCATGTTTTAAAATATATATGCACATACTGAATAAACTCTTAAAATTCATGCCTTCTTTTTTGTTCATGACACTTAAACTGAATCATGCTACGATAAAATAGAAGTTACAACTGTATACAATGATTTGATCCAGTGTTGTGGCAAATCAATACAGAGTGATTGAAACTGGTGGGACCTTCTCACACTCTTAAAAATATGTGCATCCCCCATTTAAACCAACAAACCTTACTTCAATATATGAAAGGCACAGGTGCCTTTAGTTAAAAGCAGTTTATTACCACCGCAACTATTCGAGTGTAGATATGTGAATGACTGTACAACACTCAAGTGCTAAGCTCTGACAATCCATGAATGCCCAGTGGGAATAAGTGAAAAGCCACAAATTGAATCAATTCAAAACAGTCCCACATCTTCCAGACCCTATAAGCATGTCACGCACACACAATTGTAAAGGGTTAGAGCAATATTAAAACACAAACCCTCAATTCAAAGGAAGTTTTTGATGACCATAGTTAGTCTCACTTTACACGCGAGCGTAGCCGAAGATATGAGCATGAATATGTTGCCCTAACGATGCTTACACAAAACAAGTGCACATGCTCGGCAAGGATGATGAAAGCCTGGGGCTCACTCTTTTAGCTTCTGCTATGCTTGCACTTAAAGAGGAGCATAGTAACATTACAGTGGCAGTTTTGAAAAAATAAACCCACAAAGTGTCTAGCTCAGACACCAGCTGTCCCATGTGATCTACAATGGTTGCAATGCAGCATGTACACATGCCAGAGCCGGTGCGAAGAGAGACACTGACCAACTTTTCACTGGAAAACACGAAGCAGGAGTGCCTCTCCCCGTCAGATTCCTTGGCAATGAAGCTGAAGGACTTCTTGTCAGACTTGTCGTCCGCACAGTATGAAATTCGATGGAGGGGATGCTGATGAAATATCCTCTGCACAGAGCACAAATAGACCACCGGGAAAGCATTAAAAACTAGTCTATACTCAGTTTCACCCAACAATAAATTGCAGCAGATGCTACACACCATCGGAGCCAACAATGACAATATCCATGAACGCCATCACGGTAGTTCATGAAAAGCCTTAAATTATGCTATTACAGTGACTAAACAGAAAATAAAGACAATTTCAAAAATTATATGAAAATGCCTTTTTTACATTCTGGAGGCTTCGTACTCAATTTCAGGATTTTCAAATATTTTTCCAGAAAATTTAACATGCAAAGACTTGTGGAAACTATCAAAAATTCTACTGAGAATAAAGATGACGACACCCCAAATCTTGAATGCTAAACCTGACAAATGACTCATTCAGGTGTTTGCCTTCTTTTTCATTACTAAATGGGGCAGCACCAGCCATGCCACTGTATTCCTGCACCATGAATCACCCATACTACCGTATTTGCATGAATATGCGACCACAAATACAATGCGAGAGCAAGTTTTGATGTCCTCAAAAAGTTTAAAAAAAATATTACTGTTATAACGTGAGCAGAGGCATTATAAATTTACCGCATTTCACAAGGCAGCATAAATTTACCGCATCTCATTCAGGGACATAGCAGAAGTGAAAAGGCAATGAAAATTGAAGAAATATCAGTTTATGTTTTGACTGCACTCATCCTCACTGCTCAGGTTCTTCCTTTTGCAACCCACTTGGCGACTTTGCAAATATGCACCAGCAAGGGGTTGCTTGCCTGGTAGTTTCTTTTTCTTCAGTGTGAGCCCCTCAGTAGCCCACAAGGAAAGCAAGGCAGGAAGCGGAAACACAAAAAACCAGACCACTCTGGAGAAGGAACTAAAAATGCCCAAGTAGAAAAAAAGACTGCTGACCCGATACAGGGTCACACTTATTCTTCTGATCTTAGTTCAATTTGAGCGCGTTGGTGAAGTTAAACAAAAACAGAAAGAATGAACATAGGGACAGACAGAACAGCACCTCTTTCGTAAGAGACCCTATGTTTACTCTCAGTTTTTATTCTTCCGGTCTCTCCGCATAAACAAACACCTCGTGTTGCACCATTGCATAAACACGGTAGGTGGTCTTGGCTTGTGTTGACTTGACTAAGCCTGACTTGACTTGAATTGGCCAGTGTCCGCATTCCTGCGTGGCGCGCTGCACTTCTGCTTTTCCTCGGAATGCTTGTACAAACACAAAAGCAATAAAAATGCTTTTGATTAGGGCTGGGTGTGGATTAATATTTTTAACCCAATTAATTGCCACTCTTTAATCGATTAATTAATCGGTCCCATTGATTTACACGCAAAATATGTTAAAAAAGTAAAAATTACTTTTTGTTTCTTTTGCTGAATTGTGATAAATGGCACAATACAGAATTTTGATCTATCAGCCTCGACGTATAGTTGAGAACAGTTCAAAGGTATTCACAGTCGCAGATTATTACTTCAATTGAGGAGGCAAAGAGGTTTGTTGATATTCTCCGGCAAGAGCAACCTCCTTTGATTGATCGCAACAGTCACTGCTGAACTAAACGAACACTCGCACAGCATTGGTGTGGCTGGGACACATGTAACCATGTAACCTTCTGCACTAATCTGAAGTTCTGAATCTAGCCCTTACAGTTTATTTTAGGTTGAAATTCATACAGATGTACTCCTCCATGTCTGCGTGGCGAAAGCATTTAATTTTTACCGTCTTTTGGTTCATAAAAATTTTACCGATTAACCGGTTAAAATAATTAATTGTGATTAAAACCATAAATTGATTAATTGGGAAGTTCATTGATCGGTTGCCCAGCCCTACTTTTTATGTTTTTTATTCCCTCCTTCACGTGGCCCAATAGCTAATAAATTCCCTTCCATCCCATCCCATTCCCCCCTTCTTTTCCTACCCGATCTCCTGTATTGAGCCAAAAGAATGGCTTTCTCCAGACTTGCGTGCCTCGTGGCTGAACTCAATTCTGAATATAAGGCAAAGTGCGTTTTGGAGCTCGCAATTTTGAGGAAGAAAAAAAAAGTGTTATAATTGTGCAAATACGGTAATTAATGGTGCAGCAATACAACAAGTAGACTGAGTATAAACTGATTCATGAAGTATCTAATTGATTTGTGGGGCGAGGAATCGCCTTCTTGAAGGTATCCCAAGCAGTCTGCACAGCCTGGCATACCACCTTTACCATAGCCCATTACAACATGAAAACTGCGGGAAAAGCTCTGCAACCCAGAATTCCCGGAGGAAAATTAACATAGCCCTAATGCCCCATTTTTCCGATGTCGAAGGGAGAACCACCCCAGTGTTACTACAACCCAGAAAAACAAAGTACTGCCTAATGTCCATGTGCCTCAGAACATGGGGTATTGAGCAGATTGTTTTTTGTAGGCAGAGCCTCTCACGCAGTTCTTATTTTGCAACAGACAATCGTGGCAATCACGGCAATGCAAAATAGCATATACAGTTGCCAGCCACATGAGCTCCCCCAGTCGAACGCCAACCCGATCAGCGAAAATCCCGCACGCGGCGCATCGAGCGTTGCCACGTTTTGGGAGCCGGCTATTGGGACTAAACCATTCCGTTATCAAAGAGGTGGACGCATAGCTTTTATCGGGATTCCAGCTTTTAGAAGAGTGAATCACAAAAACATGACCGATTAGAATTGCCGTCTTCGCGTCTTCGCCCCAAGTGTTCGGAGATGATGCGATAACTGCCGATAACCTAGAGCTTGCTTTAGGCGTAGATAAAACAGCAGTGTTCGATCAATGCTTGCAAATGTAAAAACCCCATGTTTGGTAGGATATTAGGCATGACAACAATGATCCCTCGGCAAGCGAGAAGTGGCCGACCAGGATGCAGACTTGGGAAGTAATCAGTTACTTTTTTAAGTAATTTTGTAATTGCCATGTTACTTTTTTTTGAAGTTATTTGTAATGTAATTGTGTTACAAATTATTGGTAATGGATTACTTCAATTACTCGTTACTTCTTTTTTTTAAATATGAGCATAATGCAGTAATTGGAGCAATACGAGCAGAACATTCAACAGCATAAAGAGAGCAAGTTCAACAAAATAGAAAACTACTGGAAGGGGAGAATAGCCGAAAAGAAAACACAATATTTTGTATGACCGGTTACAACCACTAGAAAAACGGGCAAGGCATGAAGAAATATACGAATGGCAAAGACCAAGTAAGACAACGCCGAGTAGGTTCTCTGTCGCCTTCGATCATGTTTTTCATCTTTTCCCAGGAAAAAGAAAGCTCTTGGCATTTATGTGTTTCTGTCTTTTACACCGTTTCACCCTTTCCAACTTCTTCGACGTCTCACGCCACCTGCACAGACATCAAACGTGGGTCCGTACCCCTTCGATTCGCGGGTTCACAACTCGCGTAACAGACAATCTAGCCTCGCGAAAACGGGTCGAATTCTCTTTAGCGAGTTTTAGAATAGGGTGCCCCACAGCTTTGGCTGCTCCAAACAGCTTGTTCAGCTTGGCCCACTAGCAAGTTTTGCTCCTCTTGCGCCAATACGAGATGGTGGCCATGTCCCCACCAGCCACTACGTCAGTAAGATGCTCAGAGTAGATCTCTCAAACTGGTAGAGACAACCTTTCAGCAGCTAGGATGAAAACCAACTGTCAATTGAAGGGCCCACAAATATGGGTCACACCCTGCCACTTTCGAACTGTCAGTGACAAGAGCAATCGCACCATTAAGAAAAAGCGTGCGTTACGCGAGAGGAATTAGGCGAGGGTCAAGAACAAGGGTGCAGTTGCCCAGGGCGTACCTTGGACTTGGGATCCTGTACCGCCACACCGTCTACCGATATGGTCAGTTCCACCTTGGGCACTTTGGTGCCTTCCGATCGTTTCAGCTGCTGGTTGAACTGCAAAGTCAACAGAGGGAGAAGTGCTTGCGTTTGTCTCACAGGTAATGACAAATGCATCAATGCACGAGGCCTCTGCTTCGTACGGTTCTTGGAAGCAAATGGCGGTGCAGTATGGAAACGAGCGGCCCTTGGCAGCAAATGGCAATGAAGTACCCACTGATGGCACGCGCATTGTGCATTCACACAAGGGCTGTTGGGACTTGTAAGAACACTAAGCGCGAACTTTATCAAGGTGCTTTATCCCTGTTGAACTCTCTTGTTCACGTTTTGGACCACTCCCACACCAAACATTAAGTGGTGTCATCTGTTAGTATTTTATTTCTAGTTGCTGCAATTTCTGAAGGAAGGATAAAGGTTGTGCATGAAACCCCATGAAAATAAAAAAAAGTGCAACAGCCTGAAGTACAAAATAAAAGCAAACGTCATCCTATGCCTTCTGCCCCCCTGCCTGCCCTTGCCCCTGCCCCCCTGCCTGCCCTTGCCCCAGCCCCCCTGCCTGCCCTTGCCCCTGCCCCCCTGCCCCCGCCCGCCCGCCCGCCCGGGTATGCCTTACAAGCTGTCACGTCCCAAGCTGTTAAGCTGCTAATCCAGCCAGCTACAGAAAGCGATTGATTTGCTAAAACACTAACATCAGAACTAGAAGAGCAGAATGCCTTTTTTTGGGGTAGCATATTTATGCTTGGAGATGCAAGTGCTAACTTTGAATGTAATCAATGGTATGCATGCATAATTAATGTGCCCATGCAGATCGTGCCCCCTTAAAGTGAAAATATGCCCTGCACTCCTGCTCGCCCTATCAGACAATGGCGATGCAGCCATACACACCTTAAGCTTCCGGATGCCTTCCCGAACTACTTCAATGCCTTTTGGTTGGTCCACTTCTGTGAAGCCCAAAAACTAAAAGAAAAAAAAAAAGCTTCATTCTATGACCCATGGTGAGCAACTTCTTCAGCACTGCTAGAAACCTGCCTGCTTGATTAAAATGTGCATAAAACATAACTTGAAATTATATATCAGTTCAGGTGCAACAAGGGAATTTAAGAGCTTAATCATACGAGTAAGGAAATGAGAAAGTAATAAATTAGTATGTATATGTAATGCCAAAAGTAGTGGAGCAAAAACAGCAGCTGCAACAACTGGAAGATTTTCTTTGTACTGCTTTTGAATTATTAAGAAGTGTTGCAAGACTAGATTATAAAAACATATTTCCAAGTCAAAGGGTTTTATAAAGTACTTTGCACAAAAACTACCGTAAGCCCCTGCCAATATTTCCTTGTAAAACTTTCTTAATTTTCAACACAGCAACTACTGTTTCCATACTTGTACTTTCATTTTAAAAATATTGGCACAAAAAAAAAGTCATCTATCTAAGGTAAAATACTTGTGGCAAATAACTGAGACATTGCAATACTGATTTCAATAATTACAGAAAGCACCTGTTTAGCCCTTATAGATTTAAAAAAAAAATCAATGAAAGCTACATTTATGTGGTTTGTGCTGATCAGTGATACGGCCAAAGGGACACAAAAGAGGAGGACACAGTAAGTAGGTTAATTAGCTAAAATTTGTGAATTAACTTATTAATTGGTGAAAATAAACAAGGTTTATCACTGTGAAAAATATGGGCAAGTTCAGAAGTTGCCTACGTGACAGACCACCAATGCATGACATCTATCCTTATGGGCATGGATAGCTCAGAGATATTGGTCAGCCATTATGGCAAGTCAATGAAATCGTCTTATATAGTGTGTAAAATAAAAGACAGCTAGAAGACATCTCCATATAAAAGATAGTCTTTATAAGTCTTAAAATTTTTTTTATATAAACTTCATTTGCCTGCACAGATTTAATAAAGTATGCACAGATTTAATAAATAGCAATGCAAAGGCCTCATTCGTAGAACGTGCACAAATTCTGCTTTCTTGAGCCATAGGAATCTACACGATAATCTAATACCCAGACTGAATTATCATAACACATCAACATCTTTAGAGACATTATATGGAAGTTCACAAAGATGATGCCAAGACAACAGCAGTAGTAATTTAGCTTACCTTGACCAGGTATGCTACATGACCTTTCTGTAAAGCATCTGCTGGGTGGATCCATTTTCGGCCACCTGGAGAAAAAGAAGCTGTTAGGGTACACTGGCAAAAGTATGCCACACTGGTGAAGGACAAATTGTCCATGTGGAGTTGTGAATTATCCAAAATTGTGGACAATTTGAAGAACTCAAATGCTCACATGGACAAATTGTAACTGTGAACCTTTGAAAAGAACCTGCAGACATAACTTAGGAGGCGTGTAATAGGCGGGTTGGGGGGGAGGGGGGGGGGGGGGGGGGCATATTACAAAGCATAGAAGAAAGCTGAAGAATACACACCATCTGCAGTTATCAGCTGCACAATTAAAAGAGCAAACCACATGTGATAACCCTGGTAAAGGAGATGACTGACATTAGAGAGTTTAATAATAGCGTATGCAAAGGCTTTGAGTTCTGAATTTAGTGTGCATTTAACTTGTAGAAAATAAATAAACATAAAGTTGAAACTTCAAAACTTCCAACGCATTTGTCCTAGTTTCCCTTTTTGGCAGGAAATGTATGAGAAAATGTATCATCTGAGGTTTTGAACGTGTAAAGATTCAGGGGTATCATAGACAGAAATTTTTCAAAGAAACATATTAAAATACTCATAATCTAAAAAAAAAACTCACTTTTTTATAATGAAAGCTAAATATTTCAGAACACAAACATCTGAAAATTTTTGTTGTTTTTTGGTGTTATTGTATTTTTTAAAAATTTACATTTAAAAACACAGTTCGTAGACTGCATTTTATTTTTAAATACATTTTCTATTGAATCTTCTATTGCATTTTTTTCTGGAGCTTAATAGCATAGCTTGTTCTAGAATTGACCTATCAGGCTGAAACTCGTCATTCCTAATAGGCACTTTCCACCCTGAAAAATTGAATAAACTTGAGTGAAAGGTTCAAAAGTTGATCCTCCCAGGCCATTTCCCCCCTTTAGTCAATCTATTTTCGGAGAACCAACATTAATAAAACAAAACAAATTTGTGTTCTTAGAATGGAAGCTTGGGCAAGTTGGATATTCATATTGCAGGATATAGCGCAAAAGTAAACTTACTCACACTGAAAATACACGCACACCAGAAAAACAGTCACTCAAGTCACTTACAACTCAGTTTGTATTTTCGTCTTCTTTCTTTTTCTTTATCCCTATTAAAATTGTCATATCTCACTTCGTTGTCTTCTGTACAAAACAAATAGCGATATCCATCACACATTACCTTCAAAAGTCAAGATATAGCACTTCTTTTTCAGTAAGAGTTATGGATAGACTACTAACACAAGGGTCACTCCTTTTCATGATGTTAGCTGCCTCAATCATCTCGCGTGTCAATTGGTGATAGTTCTTTCCAACTACGGTGCTATTTCTGAAGTCCGCAGTGCACCCAGTCACGGCAGTGAATGCCCAAAAGTCCAGAGTTCGCTATTCGGGTGTTGTTTTGTTCCCTTAATCTCATTTATACATCTTCCAGTTTGTCCTAGGTACTGTTTGCCACATGAAAGGGGAAAGGAATAAATCACTCCTTCTGAGCAAGGTATGTATGGGGTTCTATGCTTTTTAGTGCAGCCAGTATTAGTTTCTGGTGTGGCATTAACTTTTTTTACATAGGCCTGAGAGTTTGACGGGGGCCGAAAAGACTACATCAATATTTGCACGATTCCCTATCTTCTTAAGGTTATGAGAAATGTTATGAATGTAGGGGATGACTACCGGTCTTTGGTTACTGTATCTGTCGCGCGACCTGCAGGATGTGATTTCACCTTTTTTGACCAGACTCGAGGTTCTGCAAGGCAGAATACCCTCCTCGCCATGGGGGGGGGGGGGGGAGGAAACCGGCAACGGTGAGCAGCGTAGAAGGGGGGAGAGGAGGAAGGGAGTGAATAGTGGAAAGCGCGAACTGGTCGTCGGTCTTTAAGGAGACTTTTGGCGACTGAAGTTAATAGATGCAAAGGATATCTCGCACTTAGTATTCTAGATATTTGTCCTGTGAAGCTTGTTAGACCTGAATGCGAGCACGACTTGAAAACAGTTTTTTAAGCACTGATTGACTCTTTACCGATTTAGAATGTGCCAAATTATCATTGAGGAGCGGTTTTTTCCTTCTCGGCTCATACGACCAAAAGACACGACGGGCTTAAGAGACAATCTTAGGTTCAGAATGTTTCCTTTTAAAATGCTCTGGCCATTTTTTTTTTTAACCTGTCATAAAAAGCCCATAAGACTATGATGAGGCATAAACAGAATGTCAAGCTGAACTTCATTTAAAACCTTTTTTCACTTTCACCATATTACTATCTCCAACTAATTATTGAAGGACAATCAAGCTATTCAATTTAATTACCTCCCTCACTACCTACTATGAAGAAAATTTATTATATATTTTAATTTGACTACATTCATAAACCTGCACTGCACACAATTTACCATGACTCGATAGCATCACAATCATGCCATGCAGTTTAGGTTACTACATTGCAGTATTATGATTACAATTGTCACATTGCTACAAAACACAATCTTTGATAAATGGCATAAGCAATCTATTTTTCTAAATATAAAAATGTTTGCTATATTAAGCACTCTACAAGTACCACTGTAATGAATATAATTTCACCATTAGCGACAACACAAAGCCTCCATCTTTAAAGCCAAAATCATACACAAATACTTTAACTGGGATTACTTGCAAGAAATGACTATCAACTTAATATATAAAAAAAAAGGGTTTGCATTGCTATCTGTGTGAGGGAGATTACGAGCAAGCAAAGCCATACCCATAAGGTCAGCATCTACCCTTCCATTCAAAAGCCAGGCAGTGTAACAGCCACGCAACCCAACGACGTGAGTGCAGCTGTCCTTGGCCCCAAATGCCAGACAGCATGCGCTCTAGCCAGAGACAATTGCCAGTCCCCCCCAGCCTCCTCCCCTACCGCGACAGCGGCAACACAATGCAGGTCCCAGGAGAGTTCCCACACCAGTGTTTTTGTTGTTAGGAGGGGGCGGACAAAAGAACCGCCCTTAATGCTGTTTGGAACGGCCAGAGGCGGCAGGATGCACGCCGCGGTCTCTTCCTGTCCCGCCGGAGCGGTCGCCGCTTCTCCAGAGCCGTTCCCCGCACCTTCTCCCGCAGACCGTTCTGGAAGGTCCTACAAAATGTCTCCCCTTTGAAGAGGAGCTCCTAAGGTCCCACCATTGTTGCTTAACTGCCCTAGTTTCTTCTTCGTGTATGCATAAAATATTTGGGAGAAAATGTGTCCGCATTGCCTGCCCCCTTCTCTGCCTTGTATGAATGTCAGTTTACGGGTAATGCAGATATGGGGTAAAAAAAATTTGGGTGAAAGAAGGTAAAAAAATGGCCTTGCTTAGATGTCCCATTGAAAGCCACAAAGGTGTGAGAGCACTTGATCAGGTTTTTAATGAGCAGCACTGTGAAATGACTTTGTCCCTACTAGATCATTCTACTTGTATGGGACTCCTACCCTCCTATGCAGCCCCATTCCTATGCAGCTGAGGGAGGAGGGAAGGCGAGTGCTAGTGCAACTTTACCCTCCCTCCCACTCCACATGGTGCAATGCCACTGGTAGCATGCACTACGTCATGAATGGATGGATGGATGAATAGATAGTAATAGCTATACCCTTTGTGATGGGTGGCAGCTTGCGCCACCTAGCCAAAAACTTTCATTATCCCTTTTTTAAAATTTGTATAAATTTTGTTCTAACACAACCCTCCCCCCCTTTAAAAGAGTTTTCATTGCCTATTTTTATCTGTATTTTCACCCCTCCCTATATCTTTTCCACCAATCTTCCAATCTCCTCTTAGTTACCCCAATTCTTTCCCTATCCATTCATCCATCCATGTCTGCAAATCTCAGTGCCCCTTCCAAATCCGTAGTCATCCCCCCCCCCCCCCCCCCCCCCTGCACCTTAAAATTACATGTTCTATAGTTTCCCTTTCGCGGTTGCATACATCGCATAGAGTGTCTATTTCCTGGAATTTAGCCCTATATGTTTTTGTTCTTAGAACCCCGCTCTAGCTTCAAAAAGCAATGAGCTCCCCAATGAATTATCATACAACCGGTCCTTCTTTATTAAGGCGAAAGCCTGCATGTCTCATCGTTCAGTCGACCTACGAAGTCCTTGAGCGAAAACATGTCTGCGACCCGAAAAGTATGAAAACACGTCGGCAACATGAAAGTTACCAAAACGAAAGGTACCACTGAAATGGCACCAAAAGTGCATCGTCAGAAAGCACACTGTCTTTGGAGGTTCGCTATCACCGGGACCACAGCCAACGTCACGATACGACTGAGCCAATAAAACTGTGCCAAAAATGCGTCGTCAGAGACAGCGCTGTCTTCGAAGGTTCGCTATCACCGGGACCACAGCCGATGCCACAATTTGAGTGAGCCAATGAAATGGCTCCAAAAATGTGTCAGATCAGCGCCTGGGCTCTCGCCTTCAACTTGTCTTAGGGATAACATAAGAGATCCTGTGAATTTTTCATTTTTTGTGCCCTGTATATTGTTAAAGCTACTTTCCCCTGCTCCCTTACCAGAATTTCCTCTCAGCTTCCTTTACTCCCTTTTCTACTCATATGGTCTGATCGGCCCCATCTCGTTGGATGCATTTCAATCTCAGCTTGCGGGTTCGGTTTGTCCACTTAGTGTTTAGACATTTTATACATAGATACTTGTACACGTTCCTTGCCTACCGTGTATCCTAAATATCAGCTAGTCTTTGTTCAAAGTTTACTTTACTGATCATTTTTCTACTCTCAAAAGATGCCCAACTCATACCCCCTATTTGGTGTATTCCCTGTGTCCCCCATGCCAACCTACCCACACTCCTTTGCTGCACTCTGTTGCCGACACTCTCTACAGCGGTCTTTGCAGGGTGCGATCAACATGAGCAGGCAACGTCTGTGCAAGGCTCTCATATAAAGTCACTGCATTAAAGGCCACACATTTATGTGAAAGTAGCTCAATTTCGAGTTGGGAAGAACTGATTGAAAGACCTAATCGAATTTCTTAATGCTGCGGCTACAGGAAACTGGCATGCTGTGCTTGCAGCGCGAGCCAGGGGTACTTACTGCTCTTGACGGTGTTCTTGTTGTTCTGGGCCCACTTGAGAAAGGAAGACTGCTTGATCATGGTGAACAGTGAAATATTTACATGGGTTAAAGATAGATGGAACGACAGATCCCTCGAGCGGCCCGGGCTGACCTGCGACAAGCAACAGTCGCACATATTTTTAGTGAAGCCGAACCAAGTGTTTGTTACACTTGTGCGAGGAACCGGTTTCGTCCCTCTGCACAGAGCAATCTGAAAGAAAACATGTTGTACAAACAATGCCTGAAGGCAAACTGGAAAAACCCTCGTAAATAGTAGCATGGGAGCAAGCAATTCTGGGAAAAGCAAAGGGGTAAACTAATGGGGATGTCCAGCCTAAACAAACGAGGAAGGAAAGGAGCTGGCGGCTATTAATTGTATCCGAGTATATGTTTCAAAACTAGCCGAGATGATTGCATTCTGAACAGACACCATTAGTGATAGTAGCCGTATAGTTAATGCGCTCCACAAGAGACCGAGTTCTTCATTCATACTCACCATAGTTTATAAAGCTTGCATATGAAAAATGAAAAGCTACATTTAAACAGACCTTTAAAAAATATGTGGACTTTTGAAACTCAGCTTAGAAAAACTTTTTGTTAATGATGTCTCACTTTGAAGAAAAATTATATATTTCATAAACAGCAAAATTTTATTTACACGGTAAACAAATTATTTCAAAGGGGCCAAATGTTTTGATAAGTGCACATATAAGATTGCATTGGGTGCACTGCCCTTGTTCTTTCCAGAAAAATGCATATGTACATGTTTAAAAAATTGTTTGAAATAGAAAATGCACTGCATAAAATTGAATCTGACCAGTGCACAAGAAATTATGCTCTAGGATAAAATTTTACCAATGAGAAAAGTGGTACTAAAAAAAGAGTAAACGTGGTGCTTTTGACATTCTCAAACTTTTTATATATTTGGAAAGGTTTTATATTTCATTGTTCCCTTTATAAGCTCCAACAAACCCACAGGTGCACAGCGGAACATTTAAAGTTGGTTTTTGCTCATTCATGTGGACAGGTGGAGGAAATGTTTTGTTCTTGCCTCCTTGCTACACGACACCACCATTAGAAGCCCTACGCGGGAAACTGCAATTTTTCGCCGATTTGTTTCACTTTTGCAGTCGGGACACCCTTGTTCTAAATAAAACCAAGGAAGGCTAAAATAAAACCAGCTCTAAAAAAAAAAAAAATAAATAAATAAGAAGGAACATGCATAGAAGTGATTTAAAATAAATCTAACCTATGGAATATGAAACACTAAAAGCAGAGTGACTTAAGTGCCAAGCAAACTTTGGAAAAGATACTTGGTCAGCTATTGTCATAACAAAATGTCAAATATATCACAACTTGTAGATGTGCACTTTTTTTATAACTTGTGCAATACCAAAGTTCTCACTAAACTGGAAAGAAAGGCTTATTCATGAAGCACGATGAGGAATTTTACAGTGAAAAATTAATCCAAAACCTAAGATTTCTGGTCCCTCCCACTTTATAGTCTGTTTTAAATAAAATTTTGCAATTCTTACTTTGGTGTGGATAAGAAAACTATTTTCACTGGTCCTAGTTTATTCTACAACAACCTAAAAATGTGCAAACTGTGACGGTTTGGTTAAACAATTGAATAATAAGCAAATATATATATTTTTAAACCTATTTTAGTTTTGTGCAGTAGGAATGCCAGCAAATATTCATCAAAAATGGAAGAAACAAAATTAGATAAAAATTGGAGTGGAATGTTGATTTGCTCAAGAGCTTTGCACAGATGAACTGAGCACAGCAAAAGTGCCTCCAGAAACCCACACGCACACAAAAAGACGATAGACCACACAAACCTCATTATGTTTTGCAATTATAGCTGCTCTTCATTAGTATATCTTTCTTGAATAATTATTTTCATAATGCATTGAATTGATATACTGTGAAAAACTTTTCTGAGCAAATTTACGTAAAGTCAAATACATACCAGACAAGACTAGGACATAGGATTTAAAAACAAACATATCTTTAGAACATTTTAATCACAAGTGTGATTCAACTTAAAGCACAGAAAAGGCGTAGTCTAGGTAATTGAATAATAGAGACATTAATTAAAGCAATGCCTAAAGAAATGTTTTACAATAGTGTTGCATTATATAGTCATTCAGTCTCAGAAAATTAGCAAAGGACAAGACACTAAATCCACGTCTTTGGCATGCGGCAAGTGCATCCAGAATTTCTCCATTGTCCAACATACAGTAATCTACCTTGATAAATAAGGGCAATACTAGGAGCCTATCCTAGATGCATGTTGCACCATAATTCACAGAATGACATCATTTGTCCCCAAAATCCATTCATGCATTTGTCACGCATAGAGACACTAATCTGAGTGAAGTGAGCCACATCAAGATAAGGTTGCTGCACACAGTTGGCGATTTTCCTAACTCAAACAAAAGGAAGATTTAAATGCAACAATTTACTATAGTGGAGATCAGTGATTTACTACAATACGCAACCATAAAGGTATTGCATTATCTATGGAATCCAGTTTATTGACTCTAAGGCAAAGCTGCACTCTGAAGCTCGTCAACAAAAAGGCATTGCTATCCATTCGTATTTATAAAGAAAAGTTAAATAAGCACCACTGCACACTTGCTCCTCCCCTGGAAAAACAAATGTGGAGGCAAGATGGTGGTACTGCAAGAACTGAGACTCAAGAATGAAGAAGAGTATGTTGTTGGGCTAGTTGGTTCATCTTAGTAAAACATAAAATAGCGCAACAGAAGGACAAGGACAAGAAGTATATAGGACAGGCGCTACCCTGTCCTGTATACTTCTTGTCCTTGTCTTTCTAGGCTAGGCACTAGGTTTCAAACCTTGTTTATGCTCCCTCACTAGCCTTGAGATAACTCAATCCTCTACATTCACTAGAAAAGGGTACTGTTCAGTTAGGATGGCAGACAAACTATAATCTGCATGGAGTTTGTGACATGACCCTAGGGTACTGTAGCCGATTTTTGGGACTGTGCTCTCCTTCCCTGGCCAATTTCTTTGCCCGACAATTTCCAAGAACCAAAAGATTATGGCAAACTGCCAGCGGGAAACCGCACTTGCGTCGTTCCTTGGCAAACCAACAAAACTATCCGTGCACGTCCTCATGAACAAATTTGAAACTGGAAGGATATCGTTCGACAACAAGCTACACGATACTCGTCGATGTTGGGCAACACGAAAGGAACAACGCAGCAGCCAAAGGATTCGGTATCGCTCGCCGTACTTACAGCTGCAGCGCAGGAGCAAATTAATGAAGTACCCGCGCTTGCCAAGTCTCGGTGCGATACCGCCCTCACACAATAACGACATACCTCGGCTCGGCTCCAAGTGAAAGATGAACGAAACGGTCCCGCTACCAGAACTGGGACTGTCGAAGGCCGTGCCAGCCTTCCATCAAAGATTGCCAAAGCACGACAGGTTTTTTTTTTTTTTTTTTTTTTTTTTCGTGTCGCAGGGAGAACGCGAGAAAGCGACAACACGAGAAAGCACGCGAGAAATCGACTTGCCAGTCAACTCAGACGAAGCCCCAAAATATGTTTCTTTTATTCGCTCTCTTCTCTTTCAAGGAGAAAAACAGCAGGTGAACTGATCGCAACCGTGTGGTTTGTGACGCAAATGGTCAGTTCAACTTCCGTGGTTGCTGCACACGCGCGCGCGCGCGGGCCATTGCCGAGCCGACTGGTGACACACTAGGACAGGCGGGGCTGGTACCGATAGGTACGGCGGAGGACAAACGCGGACAACTGCGCTCATGCGCGATCTATTCTCCACCCGACGACGGGCTGGGTCAAAGACATTCGCAGTCCTATTTCTCACGAAATGACGCCGCGCGCCGTCAGTAAACGCTTCAGCGCCCGGGTCATCGTTGAAAGACCAGGAAGCAAACAAAAACACGGACACCGCCGAGAAGTAAGTGGCACGCCCGCGCAGCCTCACAGGTCGAACGAGTGTCACTCGAGCCGCGACGACGCCCGAACTGCGTCGAACAATTGCATCACGAAGTTCTTCCAAGCAACAACTTTTGAAGGCCAAATCCGATTCACGCGGTGATACACCTGATACGACACCCGAACACTATCTGCGTGTTTACGTGCACTAGCACCTCGATGCGGAGCACGGACTTGGACCGATTCCGGGTTACCCGACGACGACCCAAGCCGCAGCCCAATTCACGAGACTGAATAAATGGTCTATTAGAGACTTTGACGGAACATGCACCCGCAATCATTAGGCTTACCTCTTGCGTTACAGAGAGGAAAGCACAGGTGAAAACTCGGGGAAAAGCCAGGAAGTGAAGACGGGACCGAAGGTGGCGAGAATGGCGAAAACGTTGGCACGCCGTGCCCCGAGAAAACAAACTTGGGGTTGCACACTTACTGGCGTTGCTCACTGGCAGAGTTCCGTCATGATATCGTCGTCGCGACGAGTTGGATCCACAACAAACTAGCGTAAACCAATGACGCCCACTCGGGACCGACCATACAACTACATCAGCTGCAGAGCGCTCCTGGACATCTTTTGTCGGACGCCTGGTGGGCGATGCAAGAACTAAACCACTGCTAAACAATCTGCGAACTTCGCGATTGCGCCGATCGGGTTACGCTTCGAAACGAAACACAAAAAATGGGGTTAATTTTTATTAGAAACTAGGGATTAAAAAATAAGGTTGCTTGAAATTCTAAACCAGGACAGCACTAAACTTAAAAAAAGAGTGTAAAGAAAACAATTTAAAACAAAACATACAGCTCGCCATTTTTAAAGGCACTGACGGGAGCCTGATGAGGTGGTCGAGTTCGCCGGCAGAATGGACGATCAACGTTGACATGGTTTTTGAAATAATACGGTTGCAGTCATTCATTATTCGTGAATGAATCGTGCCTGGAAATCGCGTTCAGGTGGTGACCAAGTCAACAAACAAAATGTCTACGGCGTTTTGCGAAGATGGGTCGGCGTTGGACAGCAACGGGTTCGAAGATTGTGAATCCCTGGATCAACGCGTTCAGGTAAGCTTCATTCATAGATTCGGACGAAATGATTTTGTTTCGTATTGCGAAGACTGTACCTCAATTCCTTTACACATGTTGTCCGTGGTTTGTATTCCAGTTTGAGCTGGAGCGTCTGAACACGGCCACCGATCTCATAAACAAGCTGGAAATTGAACTGGATGTGAGTGTGCTAATCTTGCATAAGCAGGTGGTATTTATCGTTCTGTTTCTTTTTGTAGACAGATTGAGGAAATTAGCTTGTCTACTAATCATTTACCAGTATAGGTTTGGCGCCTGCGGGCTGCTCGCGAACCCCATGAGAGCAGCATGTCCATATATCGGCAGAATTTAATCGAGTCGAATTGGGAGCACGAACTGCAGTTCCGCTCAAATAATGTAAAAAAAAAAATATATATATATATTCCCGATTTATATTGACAGGAAATCTGCAGTGCCCCCTCTGCTCTCCCGGTTCCCAATTCGAACCAATAAAAAAAAAACTAAAAAAACATCCTTTAGCTTTTGAACGCTTCTGTTCTTCAGTCATCCTTTACCGTCCTGTTCCCTCTTTCTTCTTTCACCGTGACTTATCTTGAAGCATTCCATTTACCTTTTTTTTTTTTTTTCTGTGAAACATAAAAAATTGGTTCATCAATTCTGGATTATATGAAATGGGACCTCCCTGCTAACTATCAGGCTATAAATTAATGAGACTGTCCAACTAGACCCAGCCTGGGACCATTTCTCTAATCTAGCCCCAGCTGGACTGATTTTCACCTGGGCTTAGTCCCTTAACTCTCGTGGTCATTTTGTAGGAGGCACGGTCCAACTTTCGCCTGCTCCTCTCCGAGTCTTCCCAGAAGATCAACCAGCTTGCCAAGAAGCTGGGTAGCCATGTGGAGAAGGCCAGGCCATACTACGAGGCGCGCATGAGGGTAAAGGAGGTGTGTGATCACTTTATGCCAATATTGCAGCGAAACTACACATACAACATGAAATATATGTTATGGTAAAGTTAAGAGGTATCATTGAAGTTATGATTATGCTGCAGGTAGCGAGCAGTTCATTGGGAAAATAGGATGCCATAGGGACCTCCCGGTAATTATTCCATCGTCAGCAGATAAGAAGAGCTAGCAATTTTGCTCAGTGCATGTCTGTAAATGACTCGCAACCATCTTTGGCTGCAAAGGAAAATATCTTGAGGCATTTTGGGGTGGTTTTCTGTGTACTAAAATTTTGGAGAACTAGATGTCTATGCAGTTTAATTAACATCTGTCTCTGCCTGCATCTGGCTTGGCGCAGCTCTAACAATGATTCTATAGCATTAGAGACCTATTATTTGCTTCTCTTGGTTTAGTTATGTTTTTCTAAATAATGGGATCTGTATACAGTCAAGCCCGCTTATATCGAACAGCGTGAGAATCGTAAAATATTTTGATATAGTGAAAGATCAATGTGCAAAATGAAGCAAAAAAAATGCATGCAAGAGCAGCTGATGCAGTCGCGAGTTAACTCGCAGCTCTTACCAGCCTGCACTTCACCATTGATCAGAACACTTTCTTGAAATTATCATTCATTGGGGCGAAAAGAACTGTGTAAGTGTAGCCTGTTCTTTTGAACTTGTCTCATACCCGGTAATGGCCTGCTCCACGGTAACTGAACACTCAGCGAGCACAAGTCCTCTGCCTTCAATGGCACTGCAGTAGCGGCGTAACAGGGCCACGGCAGTGACGGCTTCGCTCGATCTCGGAAGTGGTACGGAGTCTTCGGCATCTGCTGGACTGAGCTTGCTGCTTGCAATAGGTCGGTCAGCTGTCAATCAGCTCCGCCATGGTTCCCGTTGGCGACGTCGAGGGAGCCATGGCGGAGCCGACTGACATTGAGAGAAGGACGTACATCGGTTTCTTCATGATGGCAGCCATCATGATCTGGAAGGGACCAGCAAAACAATACAAACGCAACGTTGCAATGTAGCCGCGGCCGAGCGGGGCAGCAGGTGTTGTGGACATCGGGATCGGCGACGCTGCAGTGCCCTATGTGGTGCTTCCAGTGCCAACGGCATGCTCCGGTTTATTGCAAGGAAGCCTGTCATGTGCCTCCGGAGCGCACAAAATCTGGCGCGAAAGAGTTCAATATATCCGTTACGAGCCTGGTCACGTTCAATGTAAATGGATTAAAATGCGTGTAATTTTTATCAGAATTCTAATTAAGAGGGTTCAATAGGCAGTAATTCAATATATCATACCCGTGTTCGATATAATTGGGCTTGACTGTGCAAAAGTTGAGGAGCCTCATCAGAAGCTTTGGAAAGAAAAATAACTTTGGACGTAGTTTTCCCGTAGAAAATATCTCCATTGTAGACAATGTTGTACACGAGAGAGTGTGCGTAGCAGTTTGTTATATTGGTTTGAGGCATACCTTCATCTCTATGGTCACTTTTACTGGATTCCCGTTTGTCACTTCAAAATACGAGGGTGTTGACAAACACTAATTGAGAGAAGAGATTAGCCCAAATGTTTAATTGCCATGCTAGCATGACTGCTTTAATCTTTACCACCTTCCTTCCTTCCTGCAAATGGAAAAAAATAGTTTTGTCTCTTTTATATTTATGGAGAATTTATTTTTAGGTATCCCTAATAAACATAAGCAGAATGTTTTTGTCTTAGCAATTTGCCATAACTTTACAAATCATCATGCAAACGAAAAAGAACCTTGTGGAAACCTCAGACTGCAATCAATAGTTAGCCCTGAAGAAGAAATCTCTCAGCAAAATGTCAGCTGCCATTTCGAGGCACAATTTCTCCTACCAGCCTAGACTATACCTTCGTAATTTATGCAGTGGCTATGGCAGTTACGTCATACAATAGACTTCATAACAAACTGGCGCAACTTGTATAAGACTGACCTACATCCCCAAGCAGATCCATGGCATACTCACACACATCACTTAGCTATTCTACAATGGGCCGGCATATGAGCAGGTGCATCCCTCTGACTAATTGCCATACTTCTGGTGCATGTCATTATCAGGGGTGCATTTGGATAGGGCGAATATATAGTTCGTGGCAACTCAAGAAGGTAGGGCGAGGGAAAGGCACTCCGGGGAGGAGGAAGCAGACAAAATACTAAAAAGAGGAGGAGGTTCCCCCTTTCTTTCTCCAGCGTTTCGTCAGCTTCCTCCTCCCTGGGACGCCTTTGCCCTACCTTCTTGAGTTGCAGCGGACTATAGTAACTTTACATCAGGTAGCTCCGTAAATGAGAAGTTCCCCCGAACTTGAAGGCCCGTATTGAGTGTGTCTGTCGTTGCTCGCAGTTGGAAGAGGCGGCACGCAAGGCGTCGTTGCGGCACGAGCGGGCCAGCCTGGCTCACGGGACGGCCAGGCAGATGGTGGCTCTGGCCGAGGAAGGTTTGCGCCACCGGGGCACGTCTTCCCTAGACCCAGTCTTTCAGGAGATGCTCAACCAGGCCACCATCAGGGTGGGCACACCTCTCTGCCATCTCATAGGTCGCTGATATGTACTATGGTGCCTGCAGCTTGTCTCCAACTGGAGTGTTTAGCGTTATATATCCTGTAATTTTGAAATGGCAACAAATGATGTCAGGAAAGCCGGAGTATTGTGCTCTCGGACGTCCCGATGCTGGCAGTTGGTGCAAGAAGTACCGGCGAAAAGTGTGAGCGAACTCGAGTGTCGCTGTTGCCATGGCGTACCAACCCCTGGCTACCGAAGCTTCCGTGTACTGTGAAGCTGGAGTGTGATCTGCCGCACCACAGGCGTTTGCCACATCCACCGCCACCACTGTGACAATGCCAGGTTTGCGGCTGGCGACAGCGTGATGTCATCGGGCGAAAATCGAGGGACCAGTTTTTTGGACGGGGTAGACACACCATTTGGAGACACCTTCCAGGCACCACACACTGACCCAACTGGGCACCAGGCGCTTCATTGATGTCTGGAAATGGCTAGAGGGAGCAATAGGTATTTCGAGTTATTCAAGACGCACAGAAGAGTTTTTCTAGAGGTCTAAAAGACATCTTGGCAAACATGGGCGTACCAACCAGGGGGGCGAGGCATGTGTTTTCCCCCCCCTGAAGCAGCCACCACTGGGCAGGGCAAACACTGGCTGGCGGCGCCCAAGGGATACCAAGGGCACCGCCCTCCTGGCCCTGGGGGGGGGGGGTCTGGCGTCTGGTTTGCCCCCCCACTCAAAACAAGTTGGTATGCCACTGTTGGCAAAACATTATGACGTAGCCAGACGTTTTTAAAGAGACACTGACACCCCCCAAAAAAAAGTTTTAGATTTTTTGCCAAGCGATTTAATATTGTGTCGGGAGGCTATTCAATCAATATTTTGCTACGGAGTCACTTATAAAATCCAAAAAACTCGAGTGCTCGAAACCGAAACATGAGCATGGAAGCTCATAGCTGCGAGATGTGTTTACCGAGGAGGAGGGAGAAATGTTGAGGAGGAGAGATATTCCGGAAGTCACGTGGCTATGCCCGACAGCACTTTTAATCTCTCCGCTTCTCCGGTGTGTGAAGCTGACAGCAACAAAGTTGTGTGCATCGTTAATCGCGTGATTGTTTCGGACTTATATCCCTTTTGCTTGAAGGTCGATCGGGCGGTACCCCAAATGACACCTCCTAAGTAGTGACCCGACCCCAGGTCCGTCGCAACGTTGGTCCGTCGTGTGCTGCCATTGCGTCATCCAGCCCGCAGTTTGTCGCCATAATAATAATTGGGGTTGTGTGGATATTTATACAGCGTGTAGTTGGTCAGCCATTTCAAAGTTGCAACGAGTCACTCGCTTTAGATGAACAATTTTGCCAGTGCAGCACAACCGCTACCCTGGGGTCTTTAACGTGCCCCACACTCCACCTCGCAGTGGTGATACACCATTGCAGGCCGGTACTATGCTCATCCAGATCGAAACGGGCAGGGGTGGCGATTGAACCCAGGATCCCTGGGTTCTGCAGCGCGAGCTTTGGCTCCACGTGCTCCGAGCTAATGCGCGCTAGCCCACTCGGCCACCGATCCCCCCTACGTTGCCATATTGAGAATGACGTGTGCATGCACATCCTGTGATCTGTGCGTAGGAGAGGAGAGAGAGAGGAGAATAAAATTTATGTACAAACTTTTTTTTTGTCATTGAACATATTTGCAGTTTTTTGGGGCCCACAAAATTAAGGTTCAAATTCTTTTTTATTTTTAATATTGAATGTGTACCTTAGGTGATCCAGAATTTTGAATATATTTGGTACGCCTTAGTTCGAATGCTACGTGACCATTGAAAAGATATCACAACTTAAACCGGTCAATTCTCGACCGGCTGTTTTAGGGTAAAAAGAGAAGACATTTCGAGCCACAAATTGTGTTCTGGGTACTTGGGCTCTTATAGGTCATGTTTAAATAAAAACCTTGGCGAGCATAAATACTTTGTTAGTGTCCCTTTAAGCATATGCTTACTTCTTGCTCAGCTAATGCACTGGTTTTCGGAAATCATGTCCGACTGATTTCGGCATAATTAAATCAGTAATTTATTACTACCGCAGAACATCGCGGAAGCACCCACCCCACTTTCAGTTAGAACTGGGTTATATAGACATGGGCGCTTGTCCGGTCAAATCGGGAGAACCACGATGGCAGCAAAGAGCTTTGAAGGCAGCGTGAACGGAATCAGAGAAAGCACATTTATTTTCACGCGTCATCGCCCCCGGCGGTCTCGTTGCCGTCGCAACGGGGTGAATATTTTCGGCTGAGGCCAGCGCTTTGGAGGGGTTGGGCACTTAACTTATACATAGGTTGCATGTGTCGCCATTGCTGAGTACTGACGATTATTTCTGCTTCCTGGTTTCTTCAAATTAAAACTTCTTTGTCGTGAAACTAACATGGCAAACCGAAAGCTCGCGACAAGGCATGTGCGAATAGTGTTTTTTTTTAGTTCGAAGCGAATTCGAAGCGAATAGTAATTTGCTTTGAATATTTTCGAAGTGAATAATTCGAATAGTTGTAGGAAAAAATTATTAGCAAAAGTTATGCAGTGGTCACTTCACAGACCATTTATTTTCACTGCAACGCAGCCACAAATCAAAACTTAAGCTCATGCACAAATCAAAACTTATTACAAGAAAAGTCAGTGATTTTCATGAAGGAACACGAGCTGCTGCGCATGATCAGGGAGGAGAAGCTCTCTTCTGCAGCTCACGATGCTTCCTGCGCTTGAGAAAAGCCTTTCACTCCTAGTCTGGGTTGCTGGTATCGAGAGATACCTACGGGCAACACGGACCAGGGATGGGTACAGATGTCTTCCCCTGCACCTCCACCATGCCAAGGGGCCTTCTGTGCACGCAAGGAGGGGTGTCTTCAGGTACTAACAGACTCGGTAGTGAATTTGCAGCCTGGCTTTTGGTGCGTGTCAGAACTAAGACTGGAGAATTAAGACATCCCACAGGGTGTTGTGACCGTGGGCGTCCGAGTGCGACCACATGGTCGCCAGGCAGAAGGAACACAACTAACCCGTGTGACAGCTCGTCAAAAAGTGCCTTTAATCGTAAATCAACAACCGGAAGAAGCTTCGCTTCCGGTAAGCCCGCAGCACGACACATGTGGTGCCATCTATTGCCAGATGTCCTCACTACATCTCCCCTTCCAGCTCGAGGGAGCTTTACCTCGTGCTTTCACAAGTTCAGTCTTTGAGGAGGCTTGACTTGCCGCCCCGAACGTGTGACGCGTATACCCGGTGGGGGAGACTGCCGTGTAGAACTGGACACCACCGCTGAATCGCCTGTTGGTCTTTCGGCTACAGAAACTGGCCCGTCTGAAGTTGCAGGCTGGGTACAAACTAAGTCGCTTGGCTGGCTGGGAGTACTGGGCGTAGACGGCACCAAGTGGCGACGGTTGCGTTGGACAACACCCCTTGGCGTCTCGACCACGTAGGAGCGCGGCCGCTTGGCCGGGCTCAACACCCTAGCAGCACATGGTATATCTTGTACCCACACCTCTTCCCCTGCTTCCAGAGGGCGCAGTGACTGGGCGGCGTGACGCCTGTTGAAGTCCTTGCGTTGATGGCTCTTCACGCTCTGGTCCCTGCTCTTGACGAGCTTTGGCGACGGCCACTTCGGCATCAGCGATGCAGGCGTAACCCTGGCAGCCTGGTCCGGAGACGACGACCCATGAGCAGCTCCGAAGGGCTGTAGCCGGTCACTCCGGGTGTGTCCCGGTACACCAGTAACGCCATGTGCGGATCCTCTGCTTTCACGAAGAGCTCCTTCAGTGTTCGAACCATGCGCTCTGCCTCGCCATTCGCTTGCGGGTACCTCGGACTGCTCGTACGGTGGGCGAACCCATACAAGGCTGCGAAAGAGGCGAATTCCGTTGACGAAAACTGCGGACCGTTATCAGAGACCACAGTCTCCGGAATCCCAAAGCGGGCAAAGGAACTCTTCATAGCCGCGATGACTGAGCTTGACGTTGTGGTCGCAAGACTGACCACCTCGGGGAAACGGGAATAGTAGTCAACCATGACCACATAGTTGCGTCCTTGCAGCTCAAAGAGGTCAACCCCGATACGTTGCCAGGGGCGATTGGGTGTAGGAGTCCCGAGAAGCGGCTCGCAGCGCTGAATTCTTGTTTCGGCACAACGTTCACACGTCCCCACCAGTTGCTCCAGCTCGCTGTTCAAGGTTGGCCACCACACCGAGTCGCGAGCCCTTGCCTTGCATCTTCCCACGCCTTGGTGGCCCTCGTGGAGTAATGTTAGCATCTCCTTCTGAAGAGTCTGAGGAACCACGATGCGACAGTCCTTCAGCAACAGGCCCTCGAAGGCTGTGATGTTGCCTCGCTCGTTCCAGAAAGCCCTAAGATGAACTGGAACGTTGGACACCTTCTTGGGCCACCCATCCTTGCAGAATCTGAGTAGGCCGGCACAGACTCCATCCTCTGCTTGGTGCTGGCGAAGGCGATCGAGGCGAGTGGATGCAAGACTTTCGATGTCCTTGAGCAGTGACCCAACGAAGAGCTCGACGGTGTCTACTTTGGTGTCGGCAGCCTGTACAGGAGCTCGGGAAAGGGTGTCTGCTGTCGCCAGGAGCTTCCCCGGTACATAGAGAACGTTGTACTGGTAGGCCATAAGCCGCATCCTCAGGCGCTGAATGCGAGGAGGCATAGTGTCCAGTTCCGCAGATCCCAACAGAGTGACGAGGGGTCGATGATCTGTTTCGACATCAAACCTGATGCCACGGACGAACTGGTCGAACCTTTCAACGGCCCATGTGACGGCCAGAGCCTCTTTCTCCGTCTGGCTATACCGGGTTTCTGTCGGTGTAAGAGATCGCGAAGCGTAGGCAACGGCACGACGCTCTCCCGATGGTTGGTCCTGTAGCAGAACGGCTCCCAATCCATACGAACTTGCATCAGCCGACACTGTGGTATGGTACGAAGGGTCGTACTTGGCCATGCAGACCTTGGAGCTCAACATG